TCCTGAATGACCAGCACCGCTGCGTCCTGAATGTCCTCGTCGTTCATGAGGCTCTCGTGAACCTCGCCGCGTTTTCGCACATTGAGTTGGATTATCCGGAGCGTGCTACTCATTCAAAGAAGGGTAGAGCTTCTTGCAGTTTCTGCTGAACGACGCATGAGGACCTCCGCAGGGAACACACTTGAGGGTAGTCTCAGTGCAAACACTGTGGTGGTGACCCTCCTTGGCGCATTGCCCGCACATCTGGGGCAGGTCGCACTGGTGAGCTTTGTGTCCGCGGCCAACCTGCTGACAGTTGTAGCACTGGTCGAGGCGAGGACGAGATTCGAAGACCTTGGTCCTCCCGGATTGTCCTCCCGCATAAGCGTAACCCTCCGCGAGTAGCCTTTCCGCGTCCGCCTTCTTCGTGAGGTAGATAACCATTGAGCCGTACGCCTTCGGAACATCCCTGTTGCTAAGCCAGCCTACCTTCGCAACTTGAACGTCATTTTCTTTGCCAATCTCCTCGGCGGCTCCACTACGAATGGCATTCGCCTCATCCACGACCACCGTGCGGGACACGTAGTCGACTTTGACGGGGTAGAGTTCGTCTCTCAGCATCCGGGCTCCCCGCGGCAGCTTGGCTCCCACGAGCCGTTTCACCATGGTGTGCTCCTCCTCGTTTCTGCAGGCAATTCTGATTCGAGGCTTCTTCGGGTCTTTGGTCACAGCCAGGCAACGCCAATCGGATTGGCTCTGGTCCACCCTGACCTCGCCTTCCGTGAGGGTACGAACAGCGCCCGGTGTCAGTTGTTCGTCTTGTTCGTCCTCGATCCTTGACGTGTCGATCGTGCAGAAGACCACGTCTGTTGGACCCGGTGGTGCCGTGGGGCCCGGCCTTCTATTTCCTATAGTCCGCTATCCTCCCTCATCCCACAGGACAAGTTACATACAAAGTCACCCTAAGTATATCGGGGTCCCATAGTCAGAGAGCGACCAACTCTCTAACCGGCTTCCGGTCCGCCAGCTCGCCACCGCCCAGACCCTGGCCAAGTAAATAGAAGGTTTGCACCTTAAGCAGACCGCAAGGGCGTTTCCCTCTTTAAGTCCACCGACATGCGCGTCCGTCCTCTCCGGCCGAATATACCCCTTCCTAAAGCCTGTCACGTCAATCCCGTAGCGGAGACACCACACCTAAGTCCGGAATACGCGGCGCCATCTCGGCGCGAGCAGTACCACCTAGGAGTCCTCCCGTTACGGCACCTCGAGTGCGAGTCGAGTAAAAGGCGACACCGTACCGTAGATCCCTCGGTCGTCCTAGGGGCAAATTCTTCGACGCCTTCCTTCCTATAGCAGCTCGAGACCATTCGTAACCCTTACAGATCGAGTATATCCGCCACGGCCCACCAGTTATCCAGGGTGGCAAGCCCTGGCCTGGCTTCCCGTTGCTTGTCCTCGTCTCCGAGCGCGTTGCTAGCTCGAGAGCTAGTTTTTGACAAGCCGACCATGTCTTGCCCCAGACTGTCCTAAGGCCGCCCAGCCGGCGCGGTCTCTTCTTGTCTGTGACTAACCTGCCCTTATCCACCATATGTTCCTGCCGAAGCGGTGCGCTGTCGCCGTCTAGTAGCCTCGCAGGCTCCGACTGCGTCCCGGCCAGCCAGCCGTAGCCACTCTGGCCTTAACGACTCTGTTCCCCGAGATCTTAACAGCTTCCATTACTCCAGCTCTTCCACTTAGGTATTCGTTCGGGTCCTCGCGGCTACTCAGCGCTCTTCGTCGTCTCAGAGCCCGGAAGGGCCGAGGGTGTCCTGTCGTCGCCCTGAGAATCAGAGTTTCGTCGGATGGTTTTCGTACCTAGTATCCCTCTTCGTAGGACAGGAGCTATCGTCTCGAGCTCGGATTGTCGTCGATTCGTCGTCGTCGTTTCGATTTGGCTGGCGGTTGTTGCGTTGGGGCGCGTGTGAAAAAGCTTTGTGCGACGCCAAAACCCCTCACTTCCAGACCATCACAACACAACAGCCCGCAGGCAAACTCGTGGCGATCGCGCCCTGCTGCACTTTCGTGCGATTGCGTCTCTGCATTGGCTCTATTCAATTCAAAAGAATTGAATAGGTTCCCAGGCGACACCACGTGGAGGTTGCAGAGTCCGACTTCGTCCCCCACAGGCCGGACACTGGAACGAAAAAGTGGATGTCATGGTCCTACGCTCCCGAGCCAGTGTTAGCGACTCCGCGAGCACGGTACCCCACACGGCCAAAGGGCCTTCTCCCCGATCCAATCGCGCTTCCGAGCCACCGTCACGCCCCGCACACGGACCTGAACGCGGCCCCGGCGCTTCCGACCCTTCAGTGGCTCGGAAGGTCCGTCCACGAGCCATCCCGGGATAGGAGCCGCCTCCTCTGGCCAGCTGACGCCACCGAATTTCAGCAGCTTGTGATTCGGACAACGAAAGAAATGATATACGATGGCTCGACGGCAGTGTCTTACCTGGTTAGCGGCGCAAAGAAAGACAGGCAGTCTATAATATGACAAGGCTCACATGTGACTGCGTTAGTAAAGACCTGGGCCGATTAGCGCTTCAGGTGCTGTTGCTGCTGTGCGTGTTTTTTGGGAGCTGAACCGGCAGATCGACGAGCAGCTCAACAAACTGGACGGGGAGAGCGAGGAAGAGGAAGCGATGATATTGTCCTATACAGTAGGTGAGGGGCATACACACACACACAAGTTTATTACGCCTGGTGGCCTAGAGCCAGTAGCAGGCTATTTGTGTTGTTTGTGAAAGTTCCTCTGCGTTGGTCCGCTGTGGGTCCCGCCGCTGCTGCTGCAGCGCCTAATCTCATAGGATCTATGTGCTGAGGTACATGAGTCATTGTACTGCGGGACGGGAATTTGTCCATACAGACCCATTTAGGTTGTTGAAAGGTGGTTTTTGAGTTTTACAACGGCAACCCCTGTAGGCCGTCAAAGTCGTACATGAACCCTTAGGCATAAACTAAATGTTGGCTTCTGGCGCAGTTGCGTGGGTGTTTGCCGTGTCATATGAATGCTTATTCCAATTGGCCTGTCACAATACTTGAGTTTTAGCAGATGATAGGATTTTGTGACAGCGAGATAGGTAAGGTACCGCAGGCTTCCAGAATACCACAGTTTCTTGGCGACCACAATTCTTGCGCTCCCGTGAGACATAAACGTGGCCAATGCTCCTCTGCCTGACCTACTTCAATGGCGATGTTTCCTGTGGCATTGCTCTCTACTCACTGTGTTCAAGCATCTTAGTCAATCCATCGAGGGCGACGAGATTCAATATGGGGTCTGGAGACTTTGGAGCACCGGTATACTCTCTAGAGATCCCAAGTATATACTTCGGCATCAACATAGGGTTTTGTATTTTGACGGCCATCAAAGCCGCACAGCAAACGTTTGCCATTCACAAGAGGACGAGGTCAGTCTTTAACCTCTACACTTGGATGTAAGAGTTCTTTCTCCCTTCTCTAGTCAGGGTTGACGATAATTTCACAAGGATATGGATCCTACTCGTGACCAATATCCTTCAAGCCATCATCAATTGAATGTATATCCAGGGTGACCTCAAAGGAAGGTGCGCAGATCATCCATGGGCGCGGCCTTCATCAGATTGCATTACTAACAGATGCACACGAGCAGTTTTGGCTTTTTTTTTGGCAGCGTCATCCTCTGGACCCTCCAGACACAGCTAGCCTTGCAGATTATTGCGAACCGGCTGGGCTTAATCATGGCTGACAAGAGGAGAGTCAAGTACTTGAAATTGTCTCTCCTCGTTGCTGTAGGCTTTGTTAAGATTGCAGTTGCCTGCATATGGATACCTGCCCGCCTTACTCAATCCGAACAAATGCTGCACATCAACGAGATCTGGGACCGCGTCGAGAAGGTGATCTATCTCTTGATGGACCTCGCTCTAAATGCAGCCTTTCTCCATAAGGTCCGACGCGAACTGATAGCCGAAGGCCTGACGAAATATAAGCGGCTCTTCAACTTCAATGCCAGTGTGGTTGTTATCTCTCTATCCATGGACGTATGTACCGTCATAAATCTCCCCGTATTACGGTATGCAAGGCTAACTTCCGATTGAAGATCCTCATCATCGTCATGATGTCGTTTCCGAACCCTTTCCTCTACGCCCAATTCCATCCAGTTGCCTATAGTGTCAAGTTTATCATCGAAATCACCATGGCCAATCTAATTACGAAGATTGTCCGGGAGCAGAACGAGCTCAATAGTTACCACACTACCAACAATACCAACAGCACCAGGGCCGCTGATACTTTCTAAGACCTTACCATCCGATCATCGCCTATCTTTGTTCGTGGTATTGTGTGCCCTGGGGTGAGAGCTTTCTTCAGTAGAGAGTGCCGCATTATGCGGACATCTCCACGACTCACGTACCGTCTGATGAAACCCAGATACTGAGATTGGTGGAAATTCCGGTGTGAGAAAGACGTACCGGTAGGGGTAAGGACTTGTGACCAGGCAGCTCATGAGCCGCTTCTCGGTCAATGCAGTATCAATCCCCATGGCGGTTGGCATACAAACTAGTATCGATAGCTTGACAAAATGCCACTTGAGCTTCGTTCCTTAAGGCTCTTAGAGGACGGACGAGGGGGGTATATTTATGGCAATTGATAGGGGCGCATCCGCCTGAGGGACGCGCCAGGTTTACGGCCTCTGATTCGTCAGCCACTTTTTTGTTAGTGCAGGCAGAATTCTGCCGACTACGGCAGGCTATAGGGGCGACTGTTGCAAAACCCCCGAAATCACTCCAAAAGTGCCAAATCGGGTTAGCAGCATCGTGGCTTGGTCCTGCAGTACATCGCTCTTTGTACCTCCGCTTGATTTTCCTGAATTTTGGGCATAGCACCGAATATGTTGTGATAGCCGCGAGTCCGCTGCGAACCAGCAGATTACATTTCAACCTCTTCAAAGAAAGGTGCAGCATCATGTGGGAGTCGGATTTGAAACCGCACTGCCCAGTTTCCCTTGTTTTCCTAGTCCTCCTCCCCATCCTCCTCCTCTTCGTCCGGTTGATTGAGCTGCTGAACAAGGAGTCAGTACACGAACTTGCATCTGACGACTTGACCATGCTCACAATCCAGAGCCGAGCAGCGTCAGCGATTGTCTCCAGCGCTATAAGCTTGCTTTCCTCGAAGCTCCTCGAAGCTACTTCGCCAAACGAAGCCAAGGCAGGAGCTGGTCGTGGAGTACCAGGAGAGACGGCACCACTGCCGCAAGCTCGTAATTGTTGTGCTGCTCGCTGCGCAGCAGCACGCCAGGCCTCGTCCGGTTCGCCATGCGCGCCGCTGAGCTGCCGGTTCAGGTCCCAAAAGGCACGCACGGCAGCAAGAGCCACATCAGGGACCTAGATACGCAGCTTGGTTAGTGGCCTGCTACCTGATAGAACGCAGAAATGTCTTACCGGCCTGCATGTGTGGCCGTTCTTTGCGCAGTCCCAGCACGCAGCACCCGTATCTGCGCCGTGGATGTCAGCGTACGAGGTGTATAGCCTCGGAAATTCAAACGTACTGTTTTGAGAGGCGCATTCATGGCCAGGAGCCTTGTTGGCGCGGGCGACGCACTGCCGGCATGGAAAGTCACGGACTGAGCCGCGGGGAGGAACCTTCTTCATCTGTTTCTTCTTGTACTCGGATGGGCAAGTCAGCATCCGTGGCTTCGCAAGAGGTCTTGCTGATCGTATGGTAATCCTGGCAGCGGGTTTACGGACGCTGGGTTGAATCAACCTTCTCCTCCTCTGCACCTCAGCGTTCCGGCCGAGAGAGCCGCCAGTCTCGCTAACGATATCGGGATTGACCGTGGGCATGACGCCGTTGTTGACTATGAGCTTTCCCACGGACGTGACGGTATGAGAGGGAAGGTGGAATGACGTTTGGAAGGGATCTAGGGTTCTGTAAGTACTGGTCCTACCCCTTGTTTGGTCGGCTTCCACCAATGATCAACGTGACGCTAAGCTTTTCCGGGCAAGTCACCGCTGCGGGCCAGTCGCAATACCGCTGCGGATTAGTGCGGATGCCCATCGTGCACCGCCCCCTTTTTTCTGTTTTCAGAATTCAGAATTTCACCCACCCCCCATTACGACTTCTCCCGCTCCAAAAATTGCACGTCCTCCTAGCTCAATCGATAAACATCGTGACTATGTCACTCATCTTTACCTCAACGGTGTTTCGCGACGCAGGATTCAGTATAAACTTAGGAAGCATCATCATGTCACCGTCAATCTTAGCACAATCTCTCGCCGAATCGCAAGCTGGGATCTCCCACGCCAGCAAGCTCGTACCAAAGAAAGCCCAGAGCTGATAGAGGCTACCCGCGACCTGATATTCCGCGTTGGGCTCAGTGGAAAGCAGACATTCAGCGTTCTACAGCGACAGGGCTGGCAGATCACCAAAGAAGGTCTGAAGCGTATAAGGCTTCACCCAGACCGCCGCTGGGTACGTAGGATCAATAGCGACGAAGAACGTCTTGCGCTGCTGGAGAAGACAGAGCAAGTCATCATCGAAATGACACAACGATCTAATGCCATTTCCGGATATGGTAAAAGCCTTCTTCAGCCATATCTTCGTCAGCAAAAGCAGCTCTGGGTACCACGAGACCCTCTCTTTGCGATGTACAAGATCATGTTCCCAAATGAGGTCGATATCCCCAGGGCTCCCCAGCGTCACCAATACTCTTCCTTCTATACACGGAGCCGATCCATAAAATGGGACCCCCAGGTAACAGATTCGGATATGCCGACGACTGCGGCACCCTGTGCGTCGGCAAGACAATCAAAGACACTGCCAAAGCAGCCCAAAGCCTTCTAACTGCCACTCTCGCCTGGGGGCCCAGAACGGAGTAAAATTCGACCCAGACAAAACAGAGATCATTCACTTCTCACGGGCGCACCGCGCGCCCCAGATAGCCATTAGCCATGGAGACAGAAATATCCTCCCTAGCACTACCCTCAGGTGGCTAGGTATTTGGCTTGACCTAAAACTCGGCTTTAAACAGCACGTCGAAATCAGGACGGCTAAGGCCCGTTCCGCGGCTGGCCACATCCGCGGCCTTAATAGGGTATATAGGTGCGCCCCCCCTGCCGCGATGCGCAAAGCAGTTCACACAATCGTACTACCGAAGGCCCTATTCGGCACGGAAATCAGGTACCCGGGCCCAACACGACCCGGCAAGCAAAGGGTTAACGGCACGTTCCCCCGCGTCAGAAACGGCCTACAAGACACTATAGGGAAACTTCAAGTCGCCATCAACTCGGCCATCAGAGGGGCCCTCCCGGTGTGGAAGACGACCCCTATCGAGGCCATGCTCAGAGAGTCAAGTACCCCTCCAATCCAACTACTCCTGGACATGGCACGCACAAGGCATGCCCTGAGACTCGGCACACTCGACAAAGGGCACCCCCTAGTACCTAGGATCCTTAACTATACAGCACGCAGAAACCGTGGAAACGCAGTCAGACCGACCATTCTGACAGAGGCCGCTACCAGCGTGCCACTATTCCCAAGGCCGATTCTTTGCCCCCGCATACATGCGACCCCCCCTACGCATGCTACCAAAGAGGAGGCTACTAAGGCGTTTAACACTTGGACGGCACGGCTACCCCTGACGCACCTCCTCGTCTTCACAGATGGCTCACAGATAGGCCGTAAAACAGGATACGGGTACGCAGTATACCAAGGGCCTAGCCACGACTCTATACGCGCCGGCTGCCGCCCGCTACCCCATGCAGGAGTCTTCGACGCAGAAGCGGAGGGAGCAAGGGCAGGCCTCGTGGCCTGCCTCCAGAACTGCATACAGGAAGACACGTCTGCCATAACAGTCTGCCTAGACAACACCTCTGTCATCTGGTGCCTGAACGGCACCCCCCCGGTCACCTCACAAGAAGCTATCCTCGACTTCAGAGCCTACGTCAGGAAACACCATATCCCTATAGACTGCCGATGGTCCCCGGGGCATATGAACATCATGGGCAATGAAATGGCCGACCAGCTTGCGAAGAGGGGCGCCAGCAAAAGACCGCATTTTGATCCCCAGCCCACTTTCAGTCACGTCCGCAGGCTGCTCCGTAAGGAACACCGCCAAGCCTACGAACAGTGGTGGCTTCATAACATGCCTACAGGATATGCCGGCCTCAAACTTGAAGCGCCCCTTAAACCCACTGCCGAAATAGAGACACTCACGAGGAGGGAACTCCACTGGGTCATCGCCGCAAGGACTGGCCACGGCGACTTCGAGAAGTACCATAGACGCTTCAACCACGAAGACGCCAAGATGACCTGCTCATGCGGTGCCTACAAGACACCAGCACACCCTCTGTTCTGCAGGAAGGCTAATAAAAACCCCCCTTGGTTGGGACACAACCAATACGTCGACGCAATGTTAGGCCTAGGCTGGCCCAGCTTCGTCAAACAGATCAACCATTCCTCCTTCTTCGACACGACCTGTACTAGATACCGAGAACGAGAACTACCTACACAGGGACACCACACCAGCGAAGCGGAACCCTACCCAACGTCGACCTCTAAGCCCCGAAGCACCGTCTAGCACGGCCTTAGGATTCACCTAGGCCCCGTCAGAGCGACCCCAAGAGACCTGTTCTCTAGAGCCGTTTGTAGCTCACTGAGACCTCATCCCCACTACAAGATCATCTCGCCCCTCCCTCTCAATCTAAGAACTGCGTGGGCAGCCGGTGCGAGCGCCTTTTGCCTTATATAGGATCCCCCGGCGTTAAATAATATTACATTACATTACATTACATGAGGTCGATATCCGGAAAAGGATGTTTCGGCGGAAGAAGGGACAGTTCCTTGTGCCAGGGCCAAATTATCAATGGTGCATTGACGGCCATGACAAGCTCAAGGCGTATAGTTTCGAGATATACGCCGCAATCGACGCTTACTCACGCAACATCATCTAGTTCTATGTCGGTCATTCTGCTTCAACTACTTTGAGCGTCCTAAAGCAGTATTTAACCCCGTGTAACGCCTATGGCTTCCGGCCATGGTATCTGCAGGCAGACAAAGGCAGCGAAACGCCACTGATCGCAGCAGCCCATTGGAACTTTGCTATGGCCGCAGATGGGCGTGTGGAGTAGAATAGACAGGTTTTCCAGCAAGGGAAGCGCCTAAAGGACTCGTACAAGGCAGCCCCAAGTACGAAGAATATCATAGTGCCGCCCCCTCCAGCATACCTGCACGTAGACCCGAGCGCCATACTTCTTGCTTATCTTGTGAAATTGCGCGGCGCCTCTCTTGCAGGATTTGTCGAAGTTCTCCTTGGTTCGATCGCGTTGCTTGGGCAGACTAGCCATGGTGATGGTTGTGGATGGGAGAATGACTGTGGAAGGAAATAAGGGTGGATGCCACGGATTTAAGGGCGCCCTAGATGGCCCGAAACTGGGCCTAGCCGGTTCGTTCAGCACCAGAAATAGGCCGACTTCCAGGTCGAAACGGGACATTAGGGGAGACTGTGCCCTGCTTCGCTGTAGTACCTAGGACCCACCATACGCCAGTGCACGGGGCAATGGTCCCTAGGAAGCTCCCATCCACTTAGGTAGTCTGAATGACGAGTCGAGGCACATTGCAGCATCTCGTCAAAGATGGAAAAGAACTGTTCTATTGGCGCGATCCCTTGCCAGCAAGATTTCTGGTCAGCCCACTTCCGGTTGCCAGGCCCAAATTGTCCCTGATCCGAAATCGTCCCCTGCTGGCGCGAATCCTTACCACCGTGGTTTCCAGCCGGCGCAGCTTGTTCTGGCCACCAAAGACGGTGGTCGCGATTGGCCGCCATCACGGCCCCCAGCCAGCACAACTCCTGGCCAGCACAGCTTCCAGCCAGCGTAACGTCAGGCTACCAAAGGACGATATCCGAAATCGTCCTTGGTGGCACGAATTCTGGCCAACACGATCCCTCGCCACCACAGTTTCTGGCCAGCGCAGCTTCCAGCCAGCACAGCTTCCGGCCACCAAGGCGGATATCCCGAAATCGTCCCTTGGTGGCACGAATTCTGGCCAACACGATCCCTCGCCACCACAGTTTCTGGCCAGCGCAGCTTCCAGCCAGCACAGCTTCCGGCCACCAAGGCGGATATCCACGGATTCCGGCCAGCACAGCGTCCCGACGATATGCAAAACCGTCCTCTCGTAGCACGAATCCTGTCTAGCGCAGTCTCTTGCCGCCAAGGATAATGGCCGGACTCGTCTTTCTAGGCACCCGGCGCCTATAAAGGGCAGACCCGTCTCGGTTCAATTTGTGCGATGTCCTTCTAAACGCGACGGCGCCGGTAGCCAGAAGATGGCGTAGCCTACGCCTTGTTATCGTCATGTTCATTGCACAGTCAGTCCATGTGCTGCACAACCTATTGACTCCTGATCCGCTGCGGGACCTGACCTTGGTGATGGGACCGCGCAGTTCAGAGAGTCCTTGGTCGCGGCTGAGCGAGCATTTCGGGTAGCATTGTCTCCAACCTTCACTCGATATGCCAGCCCCGAGACGCACTCTACCACGGATCGCAACTCCATCGCGAAGGGATCGCTTCCGTTCGTCTTCACTGCCTTTCGCTTCCTCTTGCGAGGCTGGCCATTCAGGCTGATCGGGCCGAGAGGTTGACGGTTGCGAAGCTCCGCCCGCTCGAAATCTACGATCATGATCTGGCTACTGCCCGCATCATATAAAACGTTGCGAGGTTTTCCGTCGCGATGGAGAACTTTCAACTTGTGTATCTCCGTAAAGGCTGCAGTGACCGCGTCGACGACTGCTTGTCTGCCGGTTTGGTCGCAGCACTCGAACACAGGTCGCCCGGCCCAACTGAGGAACAGGAAGTGCTCAAAAACACCGCTGTCATAGTAATACGGGAGGATCAGCTCTATCCTGCCGAGGCATACCGGGACGTGCTTTCCCTGGATGGCCCTGACTCGATCATACATGTCGTTCTCGTGCCGCAGCAAGACAAGATCGAGACCCTCCACGCCTTTGGCAACGAGCGTGTAGCCGTGGGACGAAAGTCGCACCTTGAAGAGCGACCCGACTGACCCCGACATGTAGAGGGGAATGCAGTCCGCATCGGGGCCACGGTCTTTGGCCAGCTGAGCACGGATGAGACGAAGAAACTCTAGTCGGCTGATATGTTGGGATCCGTGATCCCCAAAATTGGGGCAGCTCTCGTCCATCGGGCCATCGGACGCTAATCCCAGCAGGCATCGTTGGGTGCAGAACGGTCGGTCCTGTATTTTCTGTTGCGTCATTTGGCCGTGCTGCCGGTTTCCTCCGCTGGGTTGCTTTCGTTTACTGCCCGAGTCTGCCCCTGCGGACAACATGGTCGCCTTATCCTTGGAACGGCTCGGTCGCTTCGGAGTGGGGGAAGGAGGAGCTTCTTCGTCATCGTCATCGCCTCGACCGTCGATGAGTTCATGCGGTGGCTGGCAACGAGAACGGGTTTGAATGGGCGACCGCTTGAAGCCACGCCACCGCTGGGGTTTGTAAGGAGACGCGCGAGGCCCCTTGTCCTTGCGCATCGTTTCGGGGATATTCCTCAGCACATCGTCGTACTCCACCGCCCAGGTATCTAGGCCGGCGGCCGCGTCGTGCCAGGACAGAGGGGGCGGTGTCGCGCAGAGGGCCCGGAGAATGAAGGCGAAGACCTGCGCAGCGGCCGTGCGGTGGAGCCTATTCTCGTCGTCATCCAGGACGTCCACGTTCGGCACACATACGGAGTAGTAGACAATCGTGGGATCGTCCGGAATGTAGAGGAAGATGAACGTCTCCCCCGTGCATACGTATCCGTACTGAATGCCCTTGCCGATCATGTAGGAGAAGAGCTGAGTGATGACGGCGGCGGCGAGCGACCTCGATGCAAACGAGAAGCCCTCGCCGTCCTTGTTGATCACGTCTCGTGCCGGCTGGATCTCCGACTCCAGGCCCGTCACAACCTCGTCGGTGCTCAGCTTGTGCGGTGCCTTGTACTCGATCGCGAGGGCGGGGATGTTTCGACCGTCCGAAGTCCTGTATATGCAGAATTGGTCCGCCCGGTTGCCTTTTCCCCTCGCCCTACGACGGGGCTTAGGAGCCGGCGGTCTCGGGGCCGAAGCTGCGGCAGCAGCGTGACCTTCGCCAATGGACATGTGCTCCATAGGCGCAGAGATGGGGTCGTCGGTCCGCCCAAGATTCGTATGGCTCTCGAAGGTCACGGTTCCCTGGAGACTGAGAGCGGTTCGCAGTCGGGGATCCCTGTATGCCTCGTCAACCAGTTTCTGAACAGCATTTTCGACAACATCACGTTCAAAGTCCCGGAGCCCAATCTCACTGCTAATGGGCTTGAGCAAGGACCTGACGTATTCCAGCTGATGACGGGATGGGAATGCGGAGTGGGAGGCGAACGACTGGCCGGCAGAGAGTTGATCCCAGGTCTCCTCTTGTTTCGTCGCGAAGTCGTCCCAGGGGATGATTCGGCTAGGGAAAATCCGACCGGTGGGGTTCGTGGTGTCGCCTTGAGTGGTCAATGAACGGTCGGTCACCACCTGAATCGCATGATTGAGCGAGTGACAAGCCTCCAGATACTTCTCAAGTGCCAGCGGTCTCGCAAGCTCTTCAGCCTCTTCGCGTCGCCGTTGCTCTTCTTCGCGTCGCCGTTGCTCCTCCAAAATACGACCCTCGGCTTCTTCGCGTCGCCGTTGCTCTTCTTCGCGTCGGCGTTGTTCTTCCCGAAGTTGCTGTCGCAGACTTGCTAGTTCTTCTTCCATAATAAATGTTGATGGAGGTGCAGGAGAGCATTGGTAGATGTGAATGAAAGCCTGGCCAGAGAATTAGACAGGATTGTTTTGAATTGCTTTGGCAAGGGACGTACGTGATGTTGAAACTTTTGATTGGGCGGCAAGGTCATCAAGGTGAGTTGATGACATAAGCCAATGGGCCTCGACGCGACTCTGACGCGCTTGGACGTCAATTGTCGTATCAATTGCGGATTGCGGAGTGCACCACTGGCCGCGCCCTGGGATGGTTATAGCGCCCTGAGCCCCACTAGTATCGACGCGTCCGTACGCGTTGAGGCCTGGTGGTACCTGTGCGGGATCCCAGTGTCTCCGAGGACACGACCGATCACCATGTGCACGAGCCCGCGACGGCATTGAGGCGAGTGATATTTGCACACGCTGCCCATGCCCTGCCGTTCCTCGCTGCGCCGATGTCGCCAGGGGAGAGCGTGACCCAAACCGCCTTCGGAGCGCCTTTGGCATGCCCACAGCTGTGAGGGCCAACTTTCGGGCCACCAGAAGACTGGCTAGCTCTCAGGGTCGGCTAGGGTCCACTACATGTAGCTTACCTGTCACGGCTTCTCCCACCACACGTGACCGTCCTGATAGCGAATCGACAAGGCGTTCTGGAATTCCAGTGGCGGGCTTGCTTGTGTTGAGGCCATCTACCCATTTCCATCGCCCCGTCTCAGACCCCAAACATGCCCACAACCCATGACAAACAAACTGGCGACGGCGTCACTGGCTCTGTGAAGGAGACCCGGAAGACGGCCAGGGAAGTTGGACGACCTGCTGGCACACAGGGCGACGCAGCGAAGCCCGGCACCAAGCCAGCCGTCAGCCGTTGCCCCTTGCCAGTCTGTCCCCTCTATCGGTAAGACAGACGTTTGTCTCTTCTTGGCAAGCCGGCGTTACTAACGAGACGAAGGGAAACCGGCATAGATTGCCCCGACTTGGCTTGCATGCTCTGCTGGATCAAGCGTCCGTCGGAGGCATCACGAGCTCGGGAGGCGACTCCGTAGGTGCTGTCGGCCACGTAAAGGCGACCATCCCAGCGGCATCCTCTTCCCTTCCCACGCATTGTTCATCCTCCCCCGGGACCGCACTGCCGCACCGCCAACACCAAACACCAACGATTACCCCGACTTGGACGACTCCCTATCACCCGGAGATCAGGTTTTTGATAAGCGCCCTGTCACATACAGTACTAGATTCGCTGACCCCTCTAGCACTGAACCAAAGCGGTATGCGCACCCTTGCCCCCGCACATCATGTCCATCATCACCGAATCCTTCACCTCAAGCCTCTGGCTTCCCACGCTCGCCTGTCCCTCAAAAACCTGCTTGTCCCCGTTGAATCGAACCTCGATTGGTAGCCAATCAGCATTCGCGCGAATCTCGACGGACATGGCGGTAGCGCAACACAATAGGTACTCCCCGTCCACTTCATCACGCATCCCCCCCTCAGCGCCTCCGACCCCGCAGTATCCGCCGCGACCACGCTTCTAGGTGTATAGACATCTTTCCGGTGTGTCGTCCTACTGCACAAAGGCCCGTGTTGCCGAGATGTTGACGATGCTGCTGTCCTTGCGCCTCTTGGCCCTGGGCCTTGCCGAGGTCGTCCGATGCCGCGTCTTCGATGTGCTCGGAGCCTGGCAAACAGAGTGAACATGTTGCTGGGCTTCCAGGTGCGCAACGCGGTCGCGGAGAGCGCCGAGCTCGACGACAATGTCCCTCAAGCTGGTGCAAGTGCCATCTGGAAAGCCAGAGGCATTGCTCTCATCTTGATCGAGGTCGACGGATTCCGTCCTTGAAGCCTCATCGTCATCTGGATCCCAATCGCCGCCAGCGGCGTCGTCATGAGGTGCGATATCGGTGGCAATGCCCTCATCCTCCGTTTCTAAAGCACCCTCTTCCTCGGGAGGGAGGCCGCCGGTGACACCACTCTGAGACCGGGCGTCTCTGCCGACCCCGTCAACCGTGGTTTCGTCGTTGGCGTCCGCAGCTTCTTCGAACCTGGCCTCAGTGTACTCGACGTTGGCCATCACGTCGACTTCAACATCTTCGAAGTCGCATTCGTCATTGCTGTCGTCGCCGTCATTGCCGTCGTCGCCGTCATTGCTGTCGTCGTCGCTAATGCAGATAACTTCGTGGTCATGGACGACAACGTCTGGAGACTTCGCCCGGAAGTGCTTGAGGATTGCCATCGTTGCTGTGCGTTTTGGTAAGAGGAGGAGGCAATGAGAAAGGGGAGAGATTTGGTGACAGGGAGGAGGCGATGGCAGTCTTTAAATACCCGGGATTCAGTCAGTCGGCGAACCCCATGCCCCTGTCTGCGAGCGGCTGTCGCAGACGTGCCGCCCAGCATTGGTCCGAGGCAGATTCGCCTGGTGCCTTTCCCTGCGGTGCCAGGGTTTCCGGGGTGCTCTGGTGCGGTGGTGGGCGCAAGCATGCGCTCCTCGAAGGGGTCACCTGGTATCGTCATTACCACGTCGCGAGGAAAAATGCGTGTTCGGCGAGGCGGCGTTCATGGGTTGTCGTCCTTGAGAGCACGCCGAGGCGCTCAAGAGGATGTGATATCCTCAGGCCCGTTCTCGCACTGGTCCCAGGACCGAGCATGTTGGATCCCTCGTCCAGGGATGCGCCTGTGTACGTAGCACATCATGCGCGGATCCCAGCACATCTGTCTATTTTCTGCTGTTTGGCACCCCGTCGACTTAGCCGATGTGCGTCTGGGAGTCAGAGGGGCTGGTGCCCGTGTTGCCCACCGTACCCTTGGCCATACTGTGACATCTCCCAGATATAAAACAGTAATCTCCTTGCCTTGGTGACTTTTCCGACATCACCGTCCGTCACCATACTCTTCAGGCGCTGACAATCGGGAGGCGTCGTGGCATATCCAGCCAGCCTGCCTGTTACCAATGGAGCGGAGGATGTAAACACATTCGGAGAAGGGCTGTCGGTCATGGGCGTAGAGTGCTTTTGTATCGAACCGAGACGCGAACAAACCGGGCTGAAGTTGTGTCCTCAGCACGTCTAACGGGAAGGTGAATTTTGCAGTAGCAAAGCCTCCGGATCTGGGTAAATGTAAGTCTTCTGCCGAAGTCAAAGACCTGGGGAACTTACAAGGAAATCTTGTTCCTGCGCGGAGGGGTTGGTCTGCTTTGGGGCGCATGGATCGACGTCTGAGTCCATCATAGCATGTGGTTTGGCATATGGCGAAGTGGGTCGTTCGGATTAACATTCGGGCGCTTCGCCAAATTCCGCTTGTCGCGTATAACCGCTTATAAGATACGCCCCACGTCCGTCCCTAGGCTTCACCATATATCGACGAGGCCCCTGGCGCGGAGATCGCCCGCTGTTCGAGTCTGTCAAAGTTCCCCACGGGACCTCGGCGTCGCGATGCTTTGAATCCGCCGTCCCTGGTGTTCGCGCCTGACGCTTTGGGCTAAACCATGGAGGGCGGTCGCCCGAGCGGCCGACCGCACCCAACGCCGCCGGTGCTCCGCAAGGTCTCGGGCTCGCACAGCTCCCTCGGAGACGACCGGGTACAGAGAGAATATGCAATGCTGCTGTCCTATCAGGTGCGAAGGCAAGAAAGCAAGGAAGATTCTAGGCTTCCGTGTGAATGACCAACAACGTGCGACCCCGCATTCACTACCCCTAAGGACCGCCTTCGTCTCCGACTGTCTTCATCTCCATGCTTCACAACACGTTTCCCGAAACCACAACATGGCGAGCATTACACCCTCTAAACCTCGCATCGTTACTTTCTCATTCGACGAGGAAGAATTATTTCAACAGATCTGGGTCGATTTGCTGCATAGCCTCCGCGACAAGGCCAGCCTCGAGACCGTAAACCATAAGCAGGCCGCTCTGACCTGTTTGCAGCAACACCCGACACCGACGGTGATACTACTTACAGACGCCGCCCTCACCAAGAAGTACTCAGAAGTATGGAATGCCGTCATCGCCTACGTACGTGGAGGAGGCATCGCTATCGCCATGGGCCTCTTCAGTAGTTTCGTCAGACCCAACGACATTGGCCCTCTCTTCGCCAAGGCAGGACTGCGATGGAGCGTGGGCAACTATCATCGCATGAACGTCTCGTTCAACTCAGAGGCACTTGAAGCGACCCTCCCGGCCGAGTACAGTCAGAAGGCGCAATTTCTGAAAGGGGTGGATGCAGGCGCGGTTCTTTACGGGTTCGACGATGAGTTCGGGGAGGGAACAGAAGCTGCGATTGCTTTCGCACGGGTTGGCGACGGCAAGATCGGCTACGTCGGGGATGTCAATGCTGAAGAAGGGACGACCGCCACCATCATCGCAATGTGCGGCTTGCCTGGATGAAGAACAGAACATGTACCGGATACGCAAGTGGGACCCCTTCCAGGGAAAGAGAAACACAGGGTTTAAATTTTGTTCATCGGCTTTCATTTACCCATTTTATCCCCGATCTAGCCTGTTTATCTGCGAGCATCCGACGTGATAGTCGCCAGGGATCAGCCCGTAGCCCCACGCCCGCGATGCATGGGCCCACTGGCGTCAGGCACGGGCCGCCCCGCTCGTACGCCTTCAAGTCGCGTCGCGACCATCAACTCTCCATACATGGCCACGACAAACGGCGACATCATGCTATCCCGAACTGATGCCCTTCCCGATAACCTGGAGCCGCAAAGTCGAGATGACTGCTCCAGTGACAGCAATTCATCGATATGCATACCCAGGTCGTCAAGCCCCCCTCGACCGGCTAGAGTCGGACTGCCGGATCATCTCAACCTCGACAACAAAGCAGCGCCGGCAGCCGAACCGCCGTTAGGCACTATGACAAGCGGTCCGCTAGTGCGCAAATTGAACTCTAAGGAACGGCGTAAGGAGCAACGGCGCAAGCAGCAGCGGAAGGAGGAGCGGCAGCGACGCGCTGATGCCGCAGATATCGCTGCGGCATTGGCGACAGCTTCGAAAAGACAATGCGTTCGGCCCAACGAGGGGCCTAAGCTACACCCTATAGTGTTGAACTTCGCGGGCATCATGGCAAAGCTGTCGGGCGTGCCCCACTACCCCCCTCCAGCCGGCCCGTTCTATACCGCTTCCGACCAGCTAGTGGGCGTTCTTCGGAAGCTCATCCACACCTGGGACATCGACTGCGCGCTATGCAGGCTCCATTACAAGGCCCCCGACACGACGACGCACCGATTGGAGAACTGCGACTGTCTGGATGAGTCTTCCGATGCGCGGTGCTGGCTCACAATGTTCAAGTCGTACCACGCATCCTGCAACGGCAAAGGCTCTCGGTGCTCGGAGTGCCTCTTCCCATCAACACTCTGCTTGCGTACGGTGTATCGCGAAGATATGGACGAGGAGTACGGCCACGAAAAGGAGGCACGCGAAAACTGGGGCGTCATCTACATGGAGGCACAATGTGACTGGGTCAAGGTCATTCAAAGGTTCGTGTCTGGTTGCATGGTCGTCGGGGGATGCCTCGAACGCTGCGGCGGCATAAGCGTTCTTGGGTCAGCTGCGCTGGACCATATGGGCTGGCAGGATTGGCAGGGTCTGAGAGAGAACGGCCCCAACCATATCCAATGCTGGCTCCAAGAGATGGACGAAATCAGTGGGCTGCGTTGCCCACGGCTGTTGAAGCTTTTCTGGTTCCTAGCGCACGTTGCCGCTTGTGTTGTCAGGTAATACGTGACAAGTCTATGCTGTAATGGACGAGCACCGCTCGAAATACTCTGCAAGCACTTCCTTCGGCATTCCGCATGTAATTGTCACAACCGACCTTGCCCATGCAGGGGCTACCACCGTACGCACAAAGAAAGCAACTGTGCAAGATGTGCGTGCGCGGTGTCGCGACGGGTCTAGTGCGCAAGGTCAGGGCGATTCAGGCCGAGCTGGAAGCTGCTGTTGTGGAGGTCCGCCATAAGCGGTGTGAGAGGGCAAAATACACCGCTCGAGCGGGAAAAGGCATCTTTTCCCACGCCTTGATGCGTCAGCCGCGTGATATTGTAAACTCCGAATAAATCCAAAGGACTATTAAAACACCGAATGAAGATTCCGCAACCTCTTCTCGCATTCTTTCTGATGGCAGAAACTTCGGCTCTTACGCCAGCATCCATCCTCTCCGTCGGTCGCAATGTCGCTCTTCCTGCGCTGCCCTTGCCTGAGATGTCCAGAGCGAACATCCAGGCTACCTTAGCCCTCTTGGCGGAGAAGACCAAGTTTGTGATGATGATCGTTTGGGCTCGGTCGTTGCACGGCGTGGAAATGGCCCCGGTTCAAATTTTGTGGGCGGCGATGCTGTCGTCCGTAGACGCGTCATGTTTCGCGGCGTGCTCTTGATGGTTTCGGTGGTCGGGGCCTGCTCTGAGGGCACAACGGGCCTCCACGGGTCTCAATTTAATGCTGGGGGAAGCATTGGGATCCATGGAGGCCATTGCGACCACAAGCAGGCGTATTTCGGGGCTGTCGCTTCCTTCGATTTCAAAAGTTCCGTTCTCGCTATTGGTGATGTTTTAGGCGCAAGGTCTTAGTCGCTTGTTAAGATACGACAGTGTGCCTGATGCGTGATCATGTGATGACTCTTGGCGCAAGCCATTAGTGCAAGCCTCAATCAGCCCCGGTTGTGTGGCGCAGCGATGCCGATCAAGAACCAGCCCCGCAGCTAAGGCTGCATTGCCTGATTGGCCACCGCAACATTGGAGTTGAAGCCTCTGATTGGAACGATTCTTAAGGTGCCATTCTTGCGCTTGCCCAATACATCGAGGGTCGGTTGTCTCAGGACGGCTTGAGTTCGTGAGGGGAACACAGCCCGTTTCCCCTCACCATGAGGCCAATCAGATGGCCAGAGGTTCGTGCGTCAGGCTGCCAGCTGTGACGACATGGACGAACCTCTTGGCTGCTTATCCTTCTCGGTCTCTCGAGTGGTTCTAACTGGCCAAACGACGCCAGGGGTTTCTCACATCTGGCGCCAGTGGTCTGCGCTCCGTCTTCTCCAGGAACCTACCAAGAGCTTCGACATCCAACGATCTCGCAGCTGGCGCGTGGTGTCGCGACATCTGCGAAGCCCCGGCCGTCAGCACAGCACACGACGACTGCAGGCTGTAATGGACAAGTTACCCCTCAACGTATCAGGACCTGAAAGTGAGGGAATGGACCGTGGGGGGAGCCGTGCACGCGAATCAGAGGTACGAGTAGTTGGTGCCCGAAGGGATCCACCAACAGGTAGTAAGATTCGGGTCTTTGTCGATAGCCTGAACGGCAAGGAATAATTGACCTTCTTTCGAGGAGACTCCATTTGTTTTGGTGGACAAAAACGCGTTACGAGGAAGATAGTCGCGTGGTCGCGGTTGGGTGGCCCACCCACTTGTCTGGGCCACCCACTTATCATGTACGTTATAGCCTGCCGTAGTGGAGGTCGCGCCGCGGACGGGACTCCCAGCTCGCAAGATGGGCCAACGACACCAGCTCTTCGTCATCGCCCGTGTCGGCAACTACTATCGCCCACTCGCCGCGATCCACCACCAATGGCTCTACGGCGTGTCGGCCTTGCGTTCATGTCGTCGACTCCTCCGCATCTTCTCGGACCCGAGCAACCGAATCGCCCTCAAGCACGAGCTGTATCTCGCCGTCGACTTCTTCCAGAAGAGAGGTCCTCCCCCCAGCGACCCCCCGGAGTGCGAGGATCCTGAAAGGACAGCTTGTCCCTTTCCTTTCATCACCACATATCTGGCCGTTGGTGCGGCTTACGACTTTGATCTGGGCCGGGTCGATACGATTCACGAACTGGCCTTCGACACAGGCTTCGATCAAGGCGACAACAATGATGGTATCACTGTGCTGGACATCACCGATTTGGTTGATGTCCGCTACTGCTTTGTGAATCTGTTTGGTTAGTCACCTGGTACAGTTTTACCTTGACTGTATCTTGGCCTCGAATTCGAGAGCCATAAAAGTTACATGGATCAGCCTTTGGACCCTGGCTCGGGTTTCGACTTTGAGCCTTTACTAATTCTCTTTAGGTCACGTTCGTGATTTCGAAACTGATAGTAAGGTAGGTACAACGGTGATGGATAGCAAGACTGTCAAATTCCCACGCAGGCATGGGTTAATGACCGTCTTGGGTAGGCCATCATCTCTATTCCCTCACTTCTGATTCGGAATACTGACGGTGACCAAGGTTCCCTCGCATAATTCGTTATTTTCAATGATTCCACGTGCATCTCAACATTTTCACGGGGGCCTCTCGTGATAACACTCCCTTAACGGGGCGAGAATACCTCAAAGGGTACTACGATGTGACCAGTGAGATGGTGCAGAACAACATTGCCATCATTGAGGGGCTCGAAAAGTCGCCTCTCGTCGAAACCAAAGCACTTTCCGGTATATTGATTCCCAGAGCCTAAAGTCTGCATCCTCGACTACCATACCTTCCCACTAACCCTCTCCAGAAACCTGGCCATGGGGTGAATGGGACGCGGATCGCCCCGTGGCAGACACAATCAACACCGGACCGCACACTCAACCCCAGACTCTAGGCCCGACCCATTCTCTCAGAGATCTGGCTGCCGCTCAACTGTTCAGTCGCCTCCTCGCGACCGAAGACGATTTTGAACCCTCCATCCTTGACGAAGTCCGAGACCTGCCGGGCTTTCAGAAAGTGCTGAGGGAACACCTCCTCTGCCACTCGAAACAGGTCGGCCCAGCACAGACTTCGAGCCATTTACTCCAGCTGGCCTACGCTGGTGAAGACCTGCTGGAGTGGAACTCCTATGTGAATCTCACGGCCGAAGCAATCAAGGTCGCCCTTACGTCAGACGCACTGAAAAGCGCCACAGGGATCATCCTCACGATACAACGTCATGTTTCGCCCGCAGAACTCGTCGAGGCTCTCTCATCTCTTGATAGCCTCCACGCGCTACAGGTCCTGGACCGACCAGACCGCAAAGACGAACAGAGCAGCAACCAGTTGTTTGAGGCTCTTTCCAAGTCAACACATCCCCTGGCCATCAAGAAGCTCACACTCTCTGGCCTCTATGCTAACGGTATTCGCCAGAATATTTGGCGACCATGTCGGGATAACCCGGTGACCTTGGAACCATATCCACTGGTGCAACTTCTCGTGGCCCACGAAGGGAAAGACGGCGACATGCTGAAGTCGCTCGGCGGGGCTTTGGAGTCCTTCTACCTCGGAGATGCTGCTTTAACCCCAGTCAAAGTTGCCACTGGCCTTTTCCAATACCTCATGACAGAAGTTCAAAGCTGGCCTATTCGCAATGGGACAGGTTTGGCCGTCGCCCACTGCTTCTCATGCAGCCCACCGGCCCTTGGCAGTGATTCAGTGGAGATTGCACCACTCCCGGCTGAGACCTACAAAATCGCCAAGGCGGCATGCCACTCGAGCGGCTTTGGAGGTTTGTATTCTAAGCTGCGCGACCTGACCCCTCGTGCCTGGACGGCGGTTGTTTCCGAGTCAAAGGACACTCACGACGCCAATGGTGTGACAACACAAACAACACACTTGCAATTCAAGTATGCATTTATACGCTCTAAGAAGGCTATCCCAGTCGACCCAGAAACCCGGCGAGGCTCTGATATCCAGCCATCTGAGATCGAAGTTGTTGATCTAGCGGGTTTCCTTCACTTGACCGCGCCTGAAATCGACACGAGCAAGCTTGCCCACCATTTTGATGAGCTTGACGCGGCCGTCGTACGCGCTACCGATGAAAGAAACCGCATCACCACTCCGCAGCACATCCCACTCTTGTCTCTTTTGAGCCCCGAGGAAGCATGCCGCTTGTTGAATCAATTCGTTGCTTCGGTGCCGGAAGTGCAGGAGGCTTGCGTGCGAATCAGCAGATGGGGCGGAGGTAAAAATATTTTCATATGCCTGAACTTGGAATCAGAGCTAATCGGTTCCTCTGTAGGACACTGGATACTCGACCTTGGATTCAACCACGATGGATAATCCCACATGGCAATGGCTCTGATGGCAAAGTAGCATGGACTCGTTGATGACGGGACTCCTTGGATCAGTGCACACACACACACAAACACAAATTTATTACGCCTGGTGGCCAGTGGGCCAATAAAGCACTATCTGCTTTGTACATGATCTCTTCCTTCGAGATGCCTCAAGATCTCAAAAGCCCATACAGTCTTCCTTCCATCTTTGCCTTGTGCGTTTCCATTTCTTCGCTGGGGTCTCGTAGGTTACTGTACCAATACCCTCACGTACCGGGTCCTGATAGTGGCCTATGGTGGATGGATGGATGTATTACGCCCGTTAGAGTCATGGGCAACTGCTGCTTAAATACATACTCCCTTCCGTCACGCATCTTTCGCTACTCGTCCAGCCGTTACATAATTTCCTGCTTCTTTTCCTCCTTGTGCATGGTCTCTTGTCGCCAAGTTCTCGTGGGGTTAGTAGCAAGTTGTCCGTGAAGGCGTCTTCTCCAGGTGCCCAGCTTCCTATCTTCAGCCGCTGGCGCGAACCTGCTGTCGTGGCACGAGGTGGATGGGTTAGTATGAGAGAGGGTGAGTGCGGTTGTGGGTGGGTTAAGTCGTCTGCCGTCCTTCGTCAAGCCGTGCTGTTGCTATGGCGTGTTTGATGGTCGCCTGCACTGCTGCCATGTCAGGTGTCCAATCGTCCGCATCCGTCCGTGCCTTCCCTCCCAGGTGGAAGGACAGACTGCCTGTTCTCGCGCCAGTCTCTTGCTGCATCTCTACCCGTTGCGAGGTCCATCTCGTGCATCGGAAGAGAAAATGGTCTGCTGTTTCTACGGCCTGTCCGCAAGGGCATTTGTTAGAGGGTGCTGCGCCAATCCTCCACAGGTAACCGTTCAGTCGTATCATCCCCGTTCGTAGTTGTGCGAGCACTCTCGCTTGGGCTGCCGTCAGCGCATCGTATATCCTACGCGTGTGCTTTCCCGGTAGTGCCGTGCCGATTCTCTTGGAGTATTTGCCCACTTCGTCTGGTAGGGTCTGGCAGTCTGCTTGGTCCTTTCTCGCTGCCGCGAGCGTGGTTGATGCCGCCCGGTACGGACTTCTCACCGGCAGCTTCTGCGGGTTCGCGCTTCGTTTGGCTGCTCCCTTCGCTGTTCGCGTGAGGTCTCCTTCGGTCCCAGTGGGAATCCAGCGGATCGAGACGCTGTTTCCCCTGCTACGTAGCTTGCCGATGGTGGCATAGATGCGCCGTATGTCTTCCTGTCCCGACTGGTGGTGTGGTCGGCTGACCGCTTGCGTTGCTGCCTTGTTCCTGGTGAGTATCGTGATGTTGCCGTATTGGAGCTGTAACGGCAGCGCGTCCAGCGCTCTGCTCATGGCTGCAAGCTCGGCCGTGAATGGGTTTTGCTCATCCCGTGTGCCCAGCGTGGCCGCCACCATGAGCTGGGCGGTCCTCGAGGGCCGGAGAACTCCGCCGGATGCCGATCATTTCGCCCCTGATTGACGTGCTCGTAACGATGACGGTGCGACCTCTCCCCCCGCCCCTTTCGAGGGCTTCTGCTGCGTCCTCGTCCTGGATTCTCTCCACTCGTTCTTGCCACGGACCGAGCGCGAATGGGCAGATGACTTCCAGATTGTCGATCGGTACTCCCTCGTGTGACGCGGCGTGTCGCTGTAAAGGTGACGTGAACCGCTTCGTCATCCGCCTCTCCGTGGCTGCCAGAGGATGGTTGTCCGGGAGTGTGTTCAGGTTCACCCAGAACGTCGTGGCCCGCCTTGCCAGACAATCTTGACCCTGCTCACATTCTTCGGATCCACCGTCACCGCCTTGCACCTCCAACTGCAGTCCCCTTTCTTTGTCCTTATTTCCTTTTCCACCGCCGTCCTGACAGTGCCAGCGTTCACTTTGTTCTTGTCCGTCTCCTCCACGCGGGATGCGTCGATCGTGCAGAAGAGTCTGTCGGTGAAGGTCGAAGGCGTCGTGTTCATCGAGGTGACGGTTCGTACGTTGCTGGGCTGGCTCGTCGGTGGGGTCCTGGCGATGTCCGCGTACGATGGGTTCGGGCTGCTCTGTCCCGAGACGACCGCCATGACGGCGTCGAGTCTCTCCTGCATCTTTTGGACCTCTACCACCCCTTGCGCCTCGGTCGTTCGCAGTTCGGCTTTGATCGTGCCGATCTCGTCTTTGATCGCGCCAATCTCCTTCTTGACCGCGCCAAACTCGTCCTTGACTCTTCGCAGCTCGTCGCTGACTGCTCGTAGCTCTTGATTGAGCAGACGGTTGTCTTCGTGCATGGACTCGCAAATGGCCATCTGCGCCTGCCCCGCCTCAAGGGCGGTCTTGAGGAGCCCATTGTGCTCTTTCATCTGTTCTTGCAAGGCTTCGAGCGTCGAGTTGTTGTCCAACCATCCGACCTTCGATCGAGAACAAAACTCTGCATATTGAAATTTCGTGGGTCTATATGCAGAGTCTATCCAGCTCGCAACCTGAGGTACCATGATGAAGACGACGATAATAGCAGCAGTAGTCAGTGATTGTGGTGGCTTGATTGATTGCTAAATGGAATTCCGATTAGGATGTGACCACTCTTTGATCCGATCCGCAGCAATGCCTGGTCAGCGTCCAGAGACATTAATAATCCAGCATAACGTGGAGCACAACAATAGGGATTGCTTGGATGTTCCCTCCCTCTCCATCTCTTATTTCCAGCGAAGAACATCGTGTGAAGGATATCGTGCGAGTCAACTGTTTCCCCGCCGCCGCTGTCGCTGCCGTCCCAAGCTCCTGATTTAAGAAGGGCGAGATGACGAGGTCTGCAGGATGCTATGTCAGATAATATCCCAAGGAAGTGGTCATATTGGTGGTACAGCCACTTACCAATTCTGCGAATAAGTGCACTGAAGGCAGAGAACATGAGGACAGTCCGATCCACCTTCAGGGGGGCCTATGCAGCCATCCATTCTGTTCCCTTGCTCGCCGCATTGGCAGCAAGTCCAGCCATTCCTTCTCAAATCTCTGAGATAACACTCTGGCTTGTCGCAGAGGCTCTCGTCGGCGACGGCAGTGATAGATCTAGCTCCTGAACACATGGAGTACTTGGCGGTACGCCGATTATAAGTCGCATCGGGGCAATAATCAGGGGCTGCGTATCTCTTGTGGCCGCATCGGAAGCGGCGGTAGGTTCGCCAACACATGACTTGGACGTCCGAATGACTTGACGGTTTTCTTTTAGGGACAAAAGGGAGCAATTTGGAAAAGCTTAAGAATTGACACGGTGGGTTATGTTGGAGTTTCTGACGTCGAACCTGCGGTGTTAAGGCAGTACTTATAGTCTTCCAAGTGAAGCGACCTTCCTCCCAGAATGAACCCTACGGTAAGCGCCCGTAGCTGCAGTCTGACCCTCACGTTTCAACTCTGGAAGTCTTGGAGACCGAGAAAAACGACCTCGTTTAATTTGGGCTGCCAACCCGAAGTGTCGGAGCCAAAGCACTCGACATAATCGTATCAGCCATTCTGCTTATTGGTCTAATATGAGCACACGACCGTGCAGGCGCGCGCTCCTGTGCACGATGTGGAAGCTTCATATCTAATTTGAATTGCTGTTGGCATTCTATGTCGTTTGATTCGCTAAGCAAGCGCTGTTCTTCCTGAGTTGTCACATCTGCCCGTGGCAATAGGGATGACGACCAGGGTCTCGTGTTCATGTTGTTTCAACACCCGATAGCCGCCAATCTCTCACGAACAAGATCCTAATCGCCAATGAACTTCAGGATGTTGGCCAGGCCCTCTGCATCGCCAGTCAAGGTCCCAGCAGACTGTTTCTTTACCCATCCCTCAGTATACCCACCACCAAAATCGATGACCCATGCGTCATCATACTCGTCGATTAAGACGTTGTCTGCCTTAACATCACCCCAAATGACACCAGCCTTGTGCAAGACTTCGACGGTCGAGCAGACCTGGTTCTTCCATTTGTGCCTCAAAGCGATAGGTATATGTGGCTTCACGGCGCAAGCTAACGTCCTGGCTCTGCAGTTGATATACGTGAGCAGAAGCCCGAAAACCACACCTCTTTCGTCTCGCACCAAACCATGAAGGCGCGAAATTCGCGTCTCCGGGTCGAGCACTGCCTCGCTAATCTTTCGGTAGGTGGTCAGCTCGCGTTTCGCGGAGTGCTGGTCTCCGGGTCTGAGTAACTTGAGGAAGAATAACGTTAGGCCCCCAACCTGTTTGACTTTCTTGGGCAGCCTAGCGAGCGCTTCGTCGGGGTTTTCGGCGCAGATCGCAAGATCTGATGGCTGAAAACATTGCCATGCTGAACACAGATCAGCTGGCAGGGCGATACCAAGTCCAATCCGCTGTTTGTCGGCCTTGGTCGTCTCGCATAGGCTTGGAGATAGCTCACCCGCCGCTATCACCAAAGTGTAGACCAACGTCTCCGCGAAGAAGAAATCATGAAGGGTTGGTTCGACAAAGGCACCCGCGTCTTGTCCTGACAGGCTCCGAAGCACAGGTAGGAATGGTTCTATTACCCAGTCTTGAAAGTCGTCGACTGTCTGGCCATCCAGTTCGCCTTCCTCTGCCACCTTGAGGAAAAAGAGGTATTGTTCTTTCAACTGAGATGAGTCTGAAAAGTGGTCCTCGAGTAGGCGAATGACGAGCCGGCTGCCATTGCACATGACAACAAATTCAGAGTCCGTATTGTGATCACTAAAGGTAAACTCCGTAACTTCGTAGCGAGGCGCATCCTCGTCGGCCCCGGGATCTGTCACAGGGGCGGATACGCAAGCGCCATGGCCTGTTTCAGGGCGTTGGTCGAGCATTAATTCTGGTGCCGGCTCGCGGTTGAGGGTGGATTCGCTGGCAGGTGAGCTCACAGAGTCGTCAGGAGATAAGACTGGGTCGGCAGAGAGTCGTGGCGGGTTCGGTGTTTTGGGACATTCGGTGGTTGGCTCATCATGGAAGGAAGCCTGAGGAATCGGTTTCGTGGGCAAGAAGACAAGTGAATCTTGTCAAAGATGCCCTGTGGGACAACCTGTTGAGCGGGGTTGTCACGCATCACGTGTGCTAGTTTTCTTTTAGGTATAGCGTATTCTTTTTAGCCCCCTGTCATTGGTGGTGCCGAACCTACCACGACAGTGGCCCATTCAATCGTCCATCATGAACCCCATGAGCGTCACCCCACCATACTACCACTGGCAACAGTCTCCCTTGACAGATTTGATTCTTCTTCAAATAGCAGGCGAATGATGATGGCAACGCTCTGATATATTGCCCCCGTTTCTTCTTCGCCACAAACTCCTAGTCATCTTCTACTAGGCCCAATGTCAGACATCGTGAGCTTGAACTACATTGAGAAAAGACCCCAATGACACCTGTGTTCTGATCGCGAGTAGAAACAGTGAAGAGACGTTTGAAGAGTCCTACCGCGCCCTCGCAGACCTTCTGGCGCTGCCTCGCCGGCACGACCTCAAGGTCAATGTGCTGGCGCTGGAAGGATGTCAGCTCATGCTTCATGATCGTCGATAGCGCCGATGATGTTGGTGTGTTTTTTGCGAAAGAGGGCAGTGAAGACGGCGCGCATGAACCACTGGCTTCACACCTGCCCAAGACGGCTGGCGGCGAAATCTTATTCACGTTACGCAGTCTAGACGCTATAGAGAAGCTCGCCGGTAGCGGTAGGACAATACTGCGCATACCAGTCATGGAGGAGAAGCAGGCGCTACAAGTTCTGCAAAAGGAGCTTGACAAAGAAGTGGACGAAGCGCCTGCGATTGACCTCGTTTGCCCTCAACCATATCCCACTAGCGTCAATCAAGCATCAGCCTACATCAACAGGCGCAGTCCGCGAGGTACTCCTGCGTCGTACTTGATTGAGTTCCTCAAGAACTAAAGGCGCAGAGACGGCCTACTCCGCAGTGATGAAAGGGACCTCGGACGCCGCGATGGCGTATCTAATTCTGTGGTCGTAACGTCGCAGGTGACGTTTGAGCAGATCAGGCGCGAGCGCCCCCAGGCAGCCAAATTACTGTCTTTGATGAGCTTCTTTCAAGCTCAGAACATACCGGAGAGTGTGCTGCACGCCTACGATGACGCTGAGAGCGGAGAGGAAGTAGGTAACCGGCGAAGCGGTGAAGACGCAGACGCCGATACCGACGATGTTGACACACTAGAGACTTCGAGAACGACATTGGTGTACTACGGGGCTATTCGCTCATTACTCCAACAGCGACAGGGCTCTACGAGATGCACTCTCTAGTCCAATTCTGCACCCGTTCGTGGTAGATTTGAAGACGTCAGTGGTCGAGAACCAGTTTTTAGGCTGTCCGCCTTACTGAACGCAAGTCTTTCCGTGTTACGATTGCTATATACGGGCTAACGATCGTCAGGAATTCAACAGCGTTGCGCAAAGCGAACCAGTTTTTAGGCTGTCCGCCTTACTGAACGCAAGTCTTTCCGTGTTACGATTGCTATATACGGGCTAACGATCGTCAGGAATTCAACAGCGTTGCGCAAAGCTCCCGCTCCGCAAATTAACATCACTACATAACTCTGTGACAAGAGACGGTGGACTGCTGGATCAAGGTCTTCAAGGCCCTGAGCTGTCATTTCGGCCTGTGTACGGCCAACATGTGAAACCGTTGACCAATTGAATCCCGGAATGACCGAGGCGCGATGCACTCATTCTAGCGACAGAGAGCAATTCGCCACTGAGGTTTGTTCTCTGATTCAGGTGGACATGATCAGATTAAGAACCGGCCATTTTACGCTCTTGTTCGTGTGCTCTACTCTTGCGGCCGTTGCTGATAGATGTGTGATGGCTGGTGGCGGGTGATCTTGGGTCGCCTAAGGTGGGTGTCGTTGGGTGATTGAGCCACCACCATGAGGCGTAGGTCTCCAACAAACCCATCCAACAAGATCTGGGCGCACGCTGCTTAGCCCAGAACCCAGAACCAGTGCTAGGCAAAGCAGTTTCTGGTTTCAATCTGGTACTGCGCAGGGGAGAATCTCAAAGTAGAGGTACGATTCGGGACGTACCGTGCATTGGACCCGAATTGAACGCGGTGTAACGCCTTGATGAGGGCAGTTTTGGCGTTTTCGAAGTACTTCGAGATCGTCCAAGGCAGCCCAATGTGCTGCTCAAGACGGAGGCCCCTCTTGTAGAATTCCGACAACGGCCATGCGACTCCAGCTCCCTCGGCTCCAGTCGACCTGTGCACCATTCGGCTTGGGTTGCCCACAGGAACAGGTGGCCACTACAGGTGTCTAATGCCGTGACGCGTTTGTGCTATTAAGAAGAATGGGAAGGTACTAACCTGGAGTTACTGTACTCACAGTCTTTCTCTCTGTTCTAATTACATGGAGGCATTTCTGCGGCTTGTATTCTATCTCGACGCCTTGCACAGTATTGCGAGCTGGTTCAGAATAGACGAAGAGTCACGACTGGAACTCTGCGACAGTAAGGCGGATGTTTGCTCCAGTTGCTCAACTGCAGGCTTACAGAAACCCCAGTTGTACTAACTTATAATCGCAATGACCGCAGTATCCACACTCCTTGTCACACGCCGTGAAGTCTTTGACGGAGTCATGCTCAGAGCCGTCATAGTCGTAACGATCTTCATCGCTGTCATAGCTCCACCAATGTGCTTTGTCGTCGCTTTCCAGATCGCCTCTCGCACTCTCCGGCCCTGAGCCATCAGCAACTTCCAGACCCTGAAGGATTAGTTGTCTGTAAGACTCAACATCACTCTTCCTTTGAAGCATTACATAAAGAACCTCGACCAGACAGTCTCGACCGGTTGGCATGCTGAACCCTCTCTGAGAGACTTCGTCAAGAGCTGCCATAGCCACGTCCTGCAGCCCGTTTTTTTGATCACCAGACACTGGGTTGTCAGCCGTATTGCAGTCAAGGAGAAATCCTAATATTTCAGGCCCTACAAGACATTCTCTCCACAACTCGTCCAAGTCTACACGGACATCTATGTCTACGGGTAGAATTGTTGTCTGAAGCGTGTCGAAAGCGAGGACTCCAATGACTTTGCCTTTGCCGCCAGGCTTTCGCTGACGCGAATGAAGGGCAGCAAGGATCTGATTCATTGGTGAATCGTCGGTCTTTGTAGGTGAAGATACACCTAACCCAGGTTGTCCATCGCCTCCACCCGAAGACCCCCTTGCACTTGACGAAGACTCTGCAACAACTTGGCCCAACCTGAATGTTGCGGGTGGTGGCAAAGTTGGACGTGGAAAGCCCCCCGTAGAAGGACTGACGACCGGCTGCTCTTTTGGAAATCTCAGATGGAGGTCGATGTCCCTCGAGGGTCTGGCGAGGGTGGCTCGCCAATGGTGAGAGTTGATAGGAGATTTTTGGTAGAGGTTCAGCTCGTAAAACTTGTCGTGAATGCCACATCTGAAATTTTTGTATCTTGAAACCTGATGTAAGTTCCCAGCTGCGGACGGTTTGGGGCATGACATCGTGACGTACGAATTGACCTTCTCAAAGTTCGCTTGTAGAAGCTGCTCTTCTTGTATCTCCGCATATTCCCTATTGGAACCGAGCGAGCAAAGTAACGAAGGGATTCTAGCGGACCGTAGTTGATCTGGCGGACCAGTTGGATGGAATGTGAAGTTTCCGGGCAGGCTTCTTCTCTGCGAATGTCATCTTTCTGTTCATTGGCCCAGGCGAGGAAGCCTGAGAATTTCGACTCATGGTCGAGGGCCTGTGGTCGATATGGTTGGATAGCGCCACAGCAGAATAGGGAAGAATCCATGATCAAGAGCACCTGGGTATTAAAAGAAGCCAAGAGTTTCGCATCAGGAGGGAAGAGGGGTATACTTAAGTAGCTTGAGTTCACACGGGAAGCAGACGACGTCTACTTGACGTCATTACATCGCTTTGGTTGTAGCTTGATGCGTGGCTTCCGCTAGCTCATGCTCGTATCCAATGACAGGCAGGACAGCAAGGAACTTTGTAGAGCAGGATGGTGGAGGACTACTTTGGGCACACTTCGTACGACCAACAACAACAGAGACTGGGGTCAGCTGAATCATGAGCCCCAGGATGGTGTTGTGCATTTTGATCTTGGTGCCGAAGCTTTGACGAAGATACATCGTGCGTTCTTCTAAGCCTTGGGCGCAGGAATAGACCATGGTGCCCAGCCTTCAGATTGATCAGATGTGAGCACACCAACACGGCCCATACTGTACTGATGTTGACGCTGTGGCGTATCTGCCAACTCCCTTGCCTAGTCTTGATCCCGCTTGCTCTCGGTCAGGTTTGGTGGAAGCTAGCTCGACCCACACAACTGGCTGACCTAATCGTTTCTGTGAAGTGTCCAGATCTGGGCCCTGGGCAGTATTAGACTCATATTTCGGCTTGTATGGCCCGTGCTCAAAGAGATCAAGACCTGTGTGCATTTGGCCGAGCAGCAGCGGCGAAGAGAAACATGGCAGCGAGAGCCGAAGCAGCGGGAGGCACAGAAGCAAGAGGCGGAGCTGCGGAAGAGCACAGCACGTGAGGAGTCCAAAAGGTCAGCAAAGACACAGTCGACAACCACGTCTCAGAACGAAGGAGGCCAACATCGGCATTACAAAACGCCTTCCTCATGTCAACATATGAGGTGGTGGAATCGCAAATTCCATCAAAGAGCTTGTGGGTCATGCCGCCGTCATATGCCTTATTACACTTTTCGTTGCCCTGGCTGCAAGATTGTTGCGTGTGCTGGCTGTCGTGACCTTCTCAGGCAGGCGTAGGCAAGAAGTCAGGTGATCGAAGCGGTTAGGGGTTTGAGATTTAGTAACCATAACACCATATCGATAGTTTTACAGTATGAGGGAGAGGAGAGTACTTCGTTACAGCATTGCATTATGTCTGGTATAACATCGCAGAACGACCACCGCAAAGCACGCATAACTCGTTGCAGCGCTACCATATGGACGACAGATAAGTGATCCTGGAGGGCACGGGTTCATTGTACCAGAGGCCTCCAGTAGACTGCGCTTTTGATTGGTTCGCAGCTGTCTCTTGCTGCGCTCCGCAGCAGCGGGAAGACTAGTCCGAGCTGCTGCCTGGCCGTCCGTCTTCGAACCTCCCCCACTTCTTCGGCGCATTCATTTGATACTCTTGCAAGATCTTCGCAATATTCTCAGCTCATTTTGAAATGCTTGACCCTTTCGGAATTATCGGTGTTGTTGTCGTGGCCGGCCAGATCATCTCGACCGTCGCCAATTTCGGGCTGGACTGGAAACACGCCCCAGCTGATACCAAGTCCCTCCTGGTTGCGGTTGGGGCTCTGAAAACGGTGCTTTCCGAGACGAATATGAATATGCTTCTCAACGATGACTTTAAGGATGTCTTCCACGGTCGGCATTCCACGCTCCTTTCGCAGCTTGGAGATACCGTGCCGGTCACAGACACCAGCATGCTGGTATCAGCATGCAAGAAAGAGCTAGAGATCCTCCTCGAGGACTTGCAGAAGCGAGTCCAGGGTCATCGAATTGGCTGGAAAAGGATGAAAGGAGCATTCCTAGCGAAGAAGACTAAAGAAGCGGTCCAAAACCTTCATCGACAATGTCAAACCTTGAACACATTGATGGATATGGATGCCCTTGCAATCGGTGTAAGCATCCACAAGGAAGTCAGAGAGGCAAGAAGAGAACAGCAGGGTTGGCATGCAGACAAGGAGTGCAAGGCCATCATCGATTGGCTCACTATGATTGATTATGGCCCTAAGCAGAGCGATTTCATTGCAAGGAGGCAAGGAGGCACTGGACAGTGGCTTCTGAGCTCGATGGAATATAGGGAATGGAGCGAGACTGCGGACCAGACTCTATTCTGTCCGGGAATCCCTGGAGCCGGGAAGACGATTATCACATCGATCGTGGTTGACGACCTTTGCACACGATATAGGAGCAATGAGCATGTTGGCATTGCATATATTTATTGCGACTTCCAGCGGCAACAGGAGCAAAAGGTTGAAGAATTCCTCATGAGTCTACTAAAGCAGCTGACGCAAGGCCGGTCATCATTGCCGGAGTGCGTGAAGTTTCTCCACGATGAACACCGGCGTAAGCGGACGCGGCCGTCATTTGATGAAGTCTCGAGAACCCTCCGTCATGTTGCAGATTCTTACTCGAGAACTTTCATCATCGTTGATGCACTTGACGAATGCCAACGAAACGACGGCTGTCGCGCGAGATTCTTAACCGAGCTTTTCAATCTCCAGGCCGAATGCGGAGCAAACATTTTCGCAACTTCCAGGTGTATCCCAGAAATTACTGACAGATTCAGTGCCAGCACAATATTGGAAATTCGTGCCAATGACGAGGATGTGCGCAGGTATCTAGACGGCCGAATACTGCAATCCGGACGGACATTGCTAGAAAAATGCCGTGAGGAGATTAGGAATGAGATCACGGAGGTTTCTGATGGAATGAATGTAAGCGTTTCAGTACTCTCCTAACAAGCCGCATGATTGAATTTGCTAGGTTCCTCCTTGCGCAGCTTCATTTCGAATCCGTCAGCAAAAAGAGAACAACTCGGAGTATAAAAGACGCATTAAAAAGTCTCCTGACGGGACCAGAGGCGTACAATCATGTTTACAAAGAAGCTTGGATGCGGATCACCGAATCTGATACCGAGTCGCAGGACCTGGCGAAGAAGGTTCTCTCATGGATCACGTGTGCAAAAAGACAACTCACAACGTCGGAAATCCAACATGCACTGGCTATACAAGAGGGTGACTCTGAACTTGAAGAAGAGGGTATCCCATCGGTCGAGGACGTGGTCTCCGTTTGTGTTGGATTGGTTGAAACCGACGAAGAGAGCAGCATCATCCGATTAGTTCATCGCACAGCGCAAGAGTACTTCCAGCGGATTTTTCCAAATGTGGAGACCGACATCGCTAAAGTCTGCCTTACCTATCTTTCATTTGACAACTTTAGGAACGGATTCTGTCTGACAGGGCAAGACATACGAGACCAGCAGCTGTTGGATCCGTTCTTCGAATACGCCGCACAAAATTGGGTCCTCCACGCTCGCTCCGCCTCACCTGACGTACATCCGCTTATTTCTACTTTTTTGTCATCTGGGTCAAAGGTTCCAAGTAGTTGTCTGCTCTGGGCGGTGAAGAACCAGCAAGAGCTCATCGCAGAATGGCTGTTAGAACGACGCGTCGACACGAATATCCGCGACGCCGATTGGGAGACCCCATTGCATCATGCTGTTATTCACGGCTGGACAAGATGTGTTCAGCTCCTCCTAAGCTATGAAGCGACCCAACTGTCAAATATGACCACGGACATCAACAACATGACCCCCATTCACTACACTGTCGCAAAAGCAAACGAAGAAATTGCGCAGGTCTTCCTCGATGCTGGAGTATCAGTCGACAGTCTAGTGAAAAGGAGGATCTGGCTGGCGACATGCCAAGATGGCAAGCTCACCTATGCACCAAATAGCAATCTACATTGCTCCCAGGGTGGGTTCAACGCTCCGCAAGGGCTCACAGCTTTGCACTATGCGGCCTTGACAGGGAGTGCTCAGATGACAAGATATTTCCTCGACCACGGTGCCAACCCAAATGCGGTCTCCGAGTGCGGCGAAACGCCTCTGCATCTCGCAGTTAGGCAAGACATCTACGATTGGAAGCGGCCCTTTGGCAAACGAGACCGTTAGAATAGTCCAGACTTTAGAATCGAAGTTTTGCTTGATTTGATAGATCATGGCACTGATGACGAGGAAGAATACTCCAAGATAATGGGTATGATCAACAAGCATAGGGTCGACATTATCGATGCTCTCCTCAACCACCCGGAAATCGACGTAAATACCAGAGATACACATGGCGCGTCTCTCCTGCACTGCATTCCTTATGGGAATTGGCGGTCTCAATCTATCCTCGAGAGGCTGCTTGAGAAAAATATCAAAAAATCCGAACGTGATTCGAAGGGTCGGACGCCACTGCATCTGTGTCAAGGAGTCTTGTGCAACGAGTGAAGGGGTCAACTGTTGGTCTCTTGGGGGTCTCTAGGAAGATAGAATAATCGATACCCTTCTCTAAATCTTAGTCCGTTTACCTTTCTTATAACTATTCCCTCACTGCGCTCGGTCCTCTCTTCTTGATTCCTACGATCAAACAACAGGCGATCCCCTGTTGGTCTCATACCTCCCTCAGGTCCTGACAATCTGGCCTGTTTGGCGAGAGATGTGAAGTCTATTACGGCTCTAATTAGACATGGCGCAAGTGTAATGGACCTGGACGAAGGCGGACTCAACACGCTCCACTGCGCAGCACGGAGTGGAGACGGGGAAACCATCCAAGTTCTGCTTGACTTTGTCACGGACGGAAATTCCATGATACTTGCGACTGCGAGAGATAAGCATGATCGAAATGCACTACATCACCTACTTGGTAGGCACGATGGCGTTAGCATAGACGCCGTTCGGTCTCTCTTGTCGAGCAGCGTCGGCATCAACGACCTTGATGACCGTGGTTACTCGCCGCTAGCGGTATACCTAGCCAAATCCTCCTTCCCATTAGAAAAGGCGCAAGTAGTGCGACTTCTCTTTGAACGAGGCGCTGACGCTTCGTTCACCAGTCCTAAGGCAGGTTTTACACTGGGCCATCTATCTGCCAAATCCTATCGACTTGATGGAGAACTCCTCTCCGTTTTGGCGAGCTCTGGCGTGGATCTCCACATGAAAGATGCCGCAGGCCGCACGGTTTTGCACCGCGCAGCGATGGCAGGTTCTCTTACCGAGGACGCCTTGGAATTTCTTCACAATGACATGGGTCTATCAAGAGGCTCCCGCGACAGTCTCGGGCTAATACCATTGGATCACGCGATTGAGATGAGAAAAAAAAACCGTCATCGAGACACGTTTGATCGAGACCGGTGGTTAAGAACAGAGGAGATCTTACGTCACCGCTAGATAGCACTGTAGCTGTATTCAAAGTAACCAGCCCTGGACAAGTTGGGTATCAAGCTTGCCTTTGAGGGTTATCTGGCGAGGGCTTGACTATATTGCCCGATGAAATAGACACTTTGCTATCGCCATCATCTGGTAGAGCGGTGGCTGGCGTTCTCTCAATCCTCTCACAACTGCCCTACCTGTCCGGCGAAGTTGTGAGTCCGGTGGTTGGAAGGGAGGTTCATTATGGAAAAGCTGGAAGGAACGCCGCGAAACGAAGCGAATCTGTTTCCAAGCAACCCCCTAGCCATGCGTCGGGTAGATAGGACTGGCTTGTTTCTCTATAGGTCTGAAATATCCTTCACCCATTTCGACTGGTCAATGTACAGTTTTTACTTGCCATACAACGGCGGCTTCTGACAACTCCAGGCTTCTGACAGCTCCAATATTGCTTGGCCACATCCCAAAAAGAATGCCCTTCATCGTTCCCCACTCCGTAACCAATGGCTCTCTCATCTCGCATCCCGATTCGTTCACCGGCGACGGGACTATACCCTCTCGAAATTTGAGTTTGATTGAAGTGCCAGAAGCCCCATGTAACTTGAAGCCTCCCTCATGAAGTCAACAATCCACGCCTCTGAGCTCCTCTACAGTGTCTGGATTGGTGCTGAAGTGCGGCCATGTGACGTCGGAACAATTGGATCTAGGGCTGCGGCTCTTCTGCGACGGTCGAGCGATGCGGGAGGAGACCACGCTGCTTCGCCAAATCTGTAGCTGTGGTGGAGTTGTCTGATACGATCTATGTAAGATAGCGGTGAAGGATTACACCGCAAAGGCTTTGGTACCCTCTGCCACCGCTGTCGAGGAGTGCCGTTGAAATTTCGCTGAGTGGATTACGTGGATGAACTACATCGGCAGACCGTCGCCTTCTCTGGAACGAGACGGCAAGAAAGGAATTGCCGGCTCTATCGTACTTCAGGGTTGTACATAGATATTTGCTTACTCGCGAGCAAATTGTATCAGGTCTGACTGTCTTAACCCCTTCCTGCCTATTCGCACTCAAATTCCTGCAATGTCTGATTCACTTTTTCCGAGTTCGTGACAGACGCTATATTTGGCTTTGTGGTACTAAGTTCCCCTTCGTTCTTTTCTTAAGTCTCGGAGAGCCTCCTTCTGACAGCTTTACCTTTGCTTGATCTTCGACCTTCATTAACGGGCTCTTGAATGTACCAGTCTTACCTGGTCTCGGTAGTTTTCTTAAGTTGGTTTCAACAGCACACGTCTTGGTCCGCGCCTTCTTCCTTCCCGTTCTCTCATTTCCCTCCTGTTCTTTCACTTTTTTACACTTCTTCTTCCTCTCTTTCTTACCCTTCGTGTCGTCGAGCACTCGTGACGTATCTTTCAATGGTTTGCTATCACCACAGTTCTTTGTCGCTAAAGGTGTTTTGCATCCCGGTAAGGCACCCCCAGGAACAGTGTTGTTATGGCTCACCTGTACCTTCCATTAGCGGTATAGTGCGGAAGATCACCCGGGAAGACTCAACCTGTGAGGCCTTGATCTGCCTCCAGCGAGTGTTAGCCACACTCAGCCTCCCAAACCTTTCCCTTCCATACCTCGGCCTCATCCACTGGCCACATTTGGTAGGCGAAGTCAGCAGCTTCGGGTACGGCCGGATGGACTACTTCAATCCGCCGCACATTGCAACCCCCAGTCTTCCCTGTGATAATAGGCTCCTCAATCGTCTGATAAAAGGTTGCCCCGAAAGGGTTGAATCTGACCGGCGGTGGATGCAACAGCACCGTGACCACATCGCAACCAGAAATATACCAAGCGAAGGCGGCCGATGCTCCGTGGACATACTTTGACCATGCTTTTTTTGTTTTACGGTGCTGAAGGCATTGTGGATGCTTGGGGTTCATCAATGGGCCCATTGCCGTCGTCAACGTCTGCATGTGATGATCGTCGGCCCACCTTTGTGCCTGGCTTTGGTCCATCCCACTCCACAAGACCTGTCGACGCCGGGGGCAAGCCTGTTGAAATTGCCGACGAACCTGTGCTTCCTCCTCAGACGTGAGATACTGCCGCAAGACCTTCTCAACATCTGGTGGAGGCTGCCGTTCCCTATTGAGGGTTTTGTGCGGGCCAATCGGCCAATTTGTTGATGGACCAGCCATGCCTGTGGCATTCCGAATCACGAAAGAAATGCAAGACCACCTGCGAACGATGAGGATTCGCTAGCTTTATAGCGAAGCGTGGTAACACACTAGAGCCATCTATCACTATCACCCTACTAGTTGTATTAGCTCCCTAATTGATACGTCAACGTGACGTCACCATGGCACTCTCTTCCCTCTACATAAAAAGATTTTCTGCGTCAAGTAGCTTTTGGCTAAAAAGGCACTATTGAGTATTGAGTATTGATACAGTATGGCCGCTTCTTGTGTTTTGTGGTCTCATTCGTATCCTACCTCTCGCTCAGCTTCTCGTGGGGTGTGTTGTGTCCAAGTTGCTCAGTGACTTAAGTCGAGCGAGTGCCTCATTTTAGACGCAGAGGTCCCTTAGCAAGATCCCAAAACTGGTCCCTACTCAAGGCCGCCGTCGGTATCCACCTCGATGATGATTTCTGTGTGTCGCGCACTAAGTGACTGCTTTCTTCCTTGAAAAATGAGGATCTTTCCGCCGGACTCACAGACTCGGCAGGAACGGCAAAGCGTCATAGAGGGACGGGCACTGTCTCGCCATGTTTTCAGTTGCACTGGCATCTAGAATTCTGGCACGGGTGGCTTCTCCGTCTTCACATTCCTGCTAGAGGATTGAGAGGGAGGCTCTCGGGTGAGATATCAATTGACTGCTGCTTCTTACCTTCTGCGACGCCTCGGGCAGTTGAGGGGCATTCGAGACCATCTTACACGCGATCCTGTCGCTCGGTGATTTGTCGTGTGACGGATCGGATATGTTTGTCTGCAAGTTGCCGTTCATGCGCGCGTTTGAGCTTGCATTAGGCATGGTACCACGCCTTTCTTTCTAGCTCTGCTCGTACTCGGCGCACGACACGTCTTCGTCTGACTTGCCTACCACTTTCCTCATCTTAGCCATGTAGGCCTTGGCGTCTTGACCCATCTAGTCCTCTTTACTCATCTAGTCCTCTTTACTCATCTAGTCCTCTTTACTCATCTAGTCCTCTTTACCCATCTAGTCGTCATGGGCCAAGAGATTTCTTAGGCGCGTTGGGTCAGCAGGGCCTCTGTCCTTCCAAACCAGCTCATGTACAGACAGCCCCGGATCATCAGAAACGCAGGCGCGTTTCGTGTGAGATGCGACCAATCACTGCCATCGTGGCGGTGAAAGGAAGCCGGCGTGTGATTTTCCACATCCCTAACTCTTCACCTTTGTTGCCACTATATGACTTACCTGACAAAAACCCTGATTTAGATCAGGGAGCCGGCAGGCTGCGCTTTCCAAAGCGGACCCAAATACCCAACCTTCGCCTGAAACAGCCTCCTATGCTGTTCATAAGCCAATCTGGCGGCCGCGATTGCCCAGGGATATCGAGCCGCGGGCCAATTTACAAGACGCGACGTGAGCAATGTGCCAGACCCTCCACACCCAGGAAACACTATCTTGCGTTTTCACCGCGTTCACTTCGTAGGAAACGTCCCCGACCGCTCATATTACCCACAGACTGAATGTGAGGTATCGCCGCAGCTTTTTGTTCCTTGTCGTCGCTCAGATCATCGTTTCTCTCAGCATGGGCATTTGCGTTTGGCACCCTGGCCCTGATTGATAGCGATGGCTGTCTGATGTTTGCAGACGGGTCGGTAGTGCTCTGCAGCATGATAGGACAGGTAAGGTTTCCTCAGTCCAGTGAAATTTCGTACAGCTTACAACATGGAGAGGGAGGCTCCTGGCACCTATTTCAGCGATCTTCTTGCCCAGAACCCTTAGCGTGCGCTTTGAGTTCTCTGCTCTTGTACTTTCCCTTGGGCCTTATTCTGGTGAGCAGATGCCCGACCACCGGGACTATCATGCTCTCCCCTGGTGCCGGCTTGTTCCGCGTCTAGATGGCCTGCGAATGGTCGTTGTTCACATAGGAGAAAAGAAGCTCCGGAGGGAGACCGGGCAGTAACACATTAGGTAATACACCCAAAGTTTGCTAGATGCTAGGCCATCTCTCAATACAGATCATATCGACTCCCGGCTTGGTCGTGGCTTGCGCTGTGACAAGTGCCCAAGCCGATGCCTGGAACATTCCCCTCTTGGCTGAACTCAACATATCCTCAGTAAGCACAACGAACTGCTAGAAGGACCATGCTAACATATGAGATCATGGCAGATGTAGGGCCTTGAGAACTTGTCGCTCAGATACAAGGTCAGTTAATTTGATCACTGTCCTCGAGAAGAAATGTACCTATAAGCACTGGAATGTCCGCTTTGATGTACTTGTGCATTCTGTCGATCCTGACGTCCGCTTCGCATGGCTAATTTTCCTGGATCACTTGTCGTTGCCACGTTACCCTACCTTGGAGTTTGCCTATCCCAGTCCAAGTGGTATCATCCTCGCTAGATTAGTGCCTTGGTTATGACATGGAGCGGAATGGGATTATGCGAGGGCCGGAGCACAGTAGGTACTGTGGCCATTAAGTTCATTTCTGGCTTGCCGTTTTGATTGGTCACAGTGTTCCTGCCAAAGCTTCCTCCAGTAGTCCTCATGTAAGCGGCTAATCGCAGGATCAACCACATCGATGCTAATCTATCTATCTATCAATTCGTCCCTTGAGTTTTGTACAATAGTACACTTCCAGAGACCCCTGCGTCCGGCCTGGGTGAGACCGAGTGAACAGTTCATGGATCTTGGCCCAAGATAACTGTTCAACCCCCTTGAGCCTAATCAGATAGTTGACTTCATCCTTTGTGAATGGTCTGCCCGAACTGTTTGCATGTTTCTTTCCGTGCCGTTTCCCACGAGGACATGAAAAGGGTCGTGTCTCCGCCATACCATTATTCCGGCGCCGGTCTACTTGCGGGTCCCATGAAAACTGCAGCTGAAATGTCGCCACACCATTCACTGTTACGCGCTTCAGAGAGACGCCCTCTAATGGCCACTCCTCAAACCTGGCAACACACGCTTTATCGACAGAGTTTCGGTCAGACGATTGACGCGTGGATAATGGCGGGGTAGCAATACCAGAAGTTCGGACATCTTCCGCACCACGGCTGTACCAGGGGCCGCCGACAGCCTTGAAGAGTGTCGCAAGCTTCGACGTTGGGCGGCGGCTGTCTGTGGAGGAGATGCCTTGCGACGTTTCGGGGACGGCATGTCAATTTCGTCCAGCCCGCTGTCGCTCCTTTCTTCGGTGCTGTTTATCGACCTTGCCGTATAGCTTTCGTCGCTGCCGCTTCCGTCTAACGAGGAAGGACCAATGTTGGATTCGGAATTCTGGTTCGCTTCATGCTGAATATAGGCGTCTAGTGCATTGCTCGATGTAGAGCGGAGACGTGCACTTCGTCGCTGGGAGAATCCATGGGCTGGCAGTGTACGCCGCGTTCGCTTAACGCTAGACGGTAAAGGGGGCCCCCGGGTCCGCCCTCGCTGCCGCGGTGTGGTGAAGGGTGCAGACACGAATGCTGTGTCACATGGCGATGTGCAGGTGGCCATCACTGTGTTTTTTGAGGCAAAGAAAGCGTTGCTGGTCGTGTTGGGACAGCTGGCATATTTTTGAGCTCGCCTTGTGTCTTGTAGGTCGCGTTGGACCAACTGTAATCCCTCGCAGATCGACGGGGACAGCTGGGACGAAAGGGAAGAGGCAAGCAGAGACGCTGCTGAGCCTGCGAGGCCTTCAGTTGGGTCGATTGTCGTTGTAACGATAATCTGGTCCAAAGGCTCTGCACGCAAGGGTGAAGGCGATAGTGTCCGCTCCGGACCTTCCGCATCTGACCCATCGGAGCTGGCTTGAGACACATAGCTAGAAGAATCTTGGGAGCCTCCAGTATGTGGCAGCGAGGGTTGAAGGACGTCATAAGCAGGACTTGAGACCAGCTCCGAGGGAGTTCGGACCCGTCCCATGTCATGGTCGTCCTCGGAGGCAGAGGCACCGGGGGCGGGAAGAAGGGCTGGCAGAACTAGAGACGATGGTGCTTGTAGAGTGCAATATGTCGAAGAGTCTCCGTCCCCTGCGAATACGACATTGTCTCTTGCTTTCTCAGGATGTTGTGAGAACGCCTCGATGTGGTGAGGGTCAACAACAGGGCCGCATATCGAGTCAGCCCGAAAGTTCGAGACCGATCGTGAGCTAAGAATACCACCTTCATCGGCAGTCGACGGCTGCCTCTCGGGCACAGGTGCCGGAATGTCTCGGGCGTTTCCATCGCCGTCGTCGTCATCACAACCGTCGTCATCCGATATTACAATGGCGTTCTCGTCAGCCGGCTGGTGGCTGCGTAGTCTTTGTCGTTCGGCGCGCTCACCGGCATAGAGAGAGCTTCGTTTCTCGGCAGCTTGCAAACTGATCGTCTCAGACTGTCCGGCGTCGTGAGATCTATGAAGGATGGTGCAGCCGCTGAGGGCTGGTAGGAGGGCTGGTAGAATTCAATACGATCAAGGCTGATTTGCATGGCCGTGAAACTTGAAATCGCAAGAGCGATACGAGGAATGCGTGGCGAGTGAATCACGAGTATGGTGAGGACGGCACAGAGAGAAGCCTGCGGTTGTATTTTTATAGATAAACCCGCTGTTACGCAGGTACTCCCAAAGGCCTGTTTTCCAACACTGCAGCACACTTCATGACCTTCTCATAGGGAAGGTTGACTCAATGATCAGAAGGTTACTTCAACCCAGGCCCCTGAAGGACGACCTGCCTAACCGTTGCATCGCCACCCTTAACGGTAGTCTTGCATGAGTTATCACATCCTCCACTTTCGTCTTCCAATAACGTCGACAGACATCGTACGACTCTCGGACTCGCCGCTCTCCGCGAGGCACCAGGTGACCAGCCACGTCAAGGTTTAAAGTGTACTCCGTCGTGCGAAGTGAGACATTGCTGGCCAGCCGCATCCCCTTCGTCCGAGTTGGGAAGGAAATAAACCACTCAGTTGTCCGAGCGCTTCTTGATCGGATGACACGACGACGCCCGGATGAAAGGCTTGGAGGCCTCACCGGTCTGAAAGCGAAACGCACCAGCGTGCCCCGTCCTTCCGAACTCCCAAGAGCCATCGATCTATTGGTGGGCACGAAGCTGGGGCGGTCGCCAAGTTCCGCCAAGGTGCCGCCGTAAAGGTATCTTGCCCCTTTTGCCTGCATGAAAATCAAATGTCATGAGGAATGGCGGTGAGTCGGAGTAATGAGCTGATTCGTCCGATCGCAACATTTCGTGACCGGTGACCGCGGCAAGCGAGGAGTCAGGGGTATCGCAACGCGGAAGTGATCGCTCAAGGGATTGGCAGCTGAGCAGCCATGCATGGAACTAGCCTCAGGCCCGTTGCAAGGGTGAGAGATAGGAGGGACACGCTGGCTGGGAGTTCACCGCGAGAACCGGGAACGGCGACTGGGCTTTGGGCGTGCGGGGCCAGTTGGGCGAGGGCCAGCGAACATTGTGAATTGTCGCCGAAGCTGAGACCAAAGCTCCATCGCGTGACAGAAAGACTCGTCGAGATGGCTGTCGAGGACTTGCAACGAGGACGCGGCCAGGTCGGGGAAGCCGGGCGTGGTGCCAGGCTAGGCAGGCAGCAGCATGACAGTGGAGATGAAAAGGGGGAGGGGGCTGAGCCGACGAAAACAAGGAAGGCGAGCTAGTAGCTTAGAATTGGGCGACGGCGGGAAGGAGGTGAGGAGGTAACATGTACTGGCGACGACGTGCGGACGGGGGACGGCCTACTTATAGTAAACGCATCATTTGTTGACAACACTGTGGAGAGGTGTTGATGCATTGTAGGTCCCGAGTGTTGGTCCTTGGGTGAGTCAGTTCTGTGACGTGTCGGGGCGCCTGTTGGGAACTGTACTGGATGAGCGGCGTCTCGGCTGGGGCAGATTTTGGTACGGTGCGTGGTTGGGATCGCGCTCTTTTCATCGTATTGGAGAGTTGGAGCCACGTGAATTGGGGATCATGGTTGCTTGGCTTCGATGGTACCTTGGTGTGGTAGGTAACAGGCGTCTTCGTGAGTTAGACGATGTGGATCTTTATCTCTTGGATGATGTTCTTCGTGTGGTCAATGACAAGCTGGCGTTGGACGTATCCTTTGGGAGTTGGACCGTCCGAGGGGAGGAGCGCAGGTTTTCTTTTATTTCCGTCAGTGTTTTGGCGGTATTAAGTGTTGCAATGGGTATGGAAAGTGAGTTTTTGTCATTGATGGGTTATAGGGGGGGGAGCCCTGTAATTCCGGGATCGGATGAAGATAGTGTGTCAAGTTAGGTGACAGTTTGTGGTGGCAACAACTGAAGGTTGGTAAGCAGGGAACGGGGACCGTTGGATTAGTCGTGTTACTCCCTCTCACGGGGTTGCACCCCATACTCCATGAAAAGGAATGGAAGGATACTTTGGAAGAAGATGAAGAACAAGAAGAACAGTGATTGCGTGTATTTGATTTTATCGTTATTTGGTAGAAAGACAAGATGGAGAGGATTTCGTGGAGAACACCATGGAATACTATGAGTGTACGTGACAGGTGTGCTGGTGATAGCCTCACTTTCTTTTTACTTGAAGTACTCTTCTTCCCCTAACTATACAGTTCTAGTAAATGGGTATGGGGCGAAGCCCCGTACGAAGGAGCATAGCGACTGAGTCAAGCCCAAATTCTTTAGGATAATGAATGAAATGAAATGAAATAAGGATTGACAATTGATTTCAACCAGTAGAGATACTGGCCATGGATGAACGGAGTGAATTGAAGGAACGGAGTGACTGAGTGGGCAAAGGGAACGGAGTGACATAAGCGGAGCGACCTTCGGACCCAAGGCCCCTCGATGACGATCTCAGGCACTGCTTACGACACGCTCCACCCCTTTTCGCGACACGGCGGCAGTCTACGACATTCTTCCGGCAACATGTCTCGGGGCAGCTCAGTCGAGCCAGATGTCGAAGTTCAGGAACGGTGGCTTCTGCCTTCGCCCTAGGACACACAGGTTTTGGACCAGATCATCGATGGCACCGCTGACGAGGGAGATACGTATCCTACGACAGCAGTCGACACAAGTGAAGGCCCGCCAGCTTTAGCCTCGCCTCTGCCTGTCTCCTCCCTTTTGTCCCAGTTATCCCCATCGATGTGCGTGGGGTTGCAGTTGGTCCAACCCAACTCTCAGGACACCAGACGCGCTGAAGGAGATATCAACTACCCCGATACGACTGGCAACGCTTTCTACGACTTGGAAGACTCTGTGACGTCCACCGGGCCATCGCCATTTGGCACGGCACCTGTATCCACGCCCACCACCATCCCACGGCTGCAGGCGCGAACGGACGATCCCATTTCGCCGCTCAGACTCAGACGAACCCGACGTTCATACCTTACCCATAGCACCCCTCAGCGACACAGCGCACGTCTGCGCGCTATATCCCGCAACGCACTAGGTGCCCGTTTTCAACATGAAGCGAACCATGATTCCGACTCAAATGACGGTTCATCGTCTGAAGACGGAAGCGACAACGACGCAAGTTATACAACAAGGTCGATCAACAGCACCGAAGGAAGGAGCAACAATAGCCTAGACGAAGATGATATGCCGGCACCAAAACGTCGCAAGTTTTCTTCTCCACAGGTCGCTGCAGCTCAACGTCGAACCTTGCGACAATCCTCGACGAGGCTGTCAGCGGCCGGTGCCAACACTTGTGCCACGGAAAATGCCCGAACTCGTGATATCGCTACCCCATCATCATCCTCCCACCAGTCGTCCGACCGAGACTCTATCGCGGACCGGTCTATCGCCAGGTTTGAGGAGTGGCCATTGCAGGACGTCGCGCTGAAGCGCGTGACAGTGAACGGCGTGGCAACATTTCAGCTCCAGTTCTCATGGGACCGGCGTGCAGACCATCGCCGGGATCACCGCATTGCAGAGACACGAGACCCTTCGTGTTCAGCTAGGAAACGACACAAGAAGAAGCATGCCTCGAGTTCGGGCAGACCATTCACGAAGGATGAAGACCGTTGTCTGATGAGGCTTAAGGAGGAGGATGAACGGTTGTCTTGGACAAAGATTCACGAACTGTTCACGAAGTCCGACCCTGGCCGCACGAAGGGGTCCCTCCAGGTGCACTACTGTACCAAACTCAAAGGAAAGTCTGATAGCCTGATAACGTTGAATTGATGTGATTGTGCGGTATATTACCTACATATGTATGCCTTCCCCTAGGTGATTCTATCCGACGGCTAGACATCCGACGGGGCTACCAATTCACACTAAAGTAATTATGCCAAAGACCAAGGACGGCGCACCTCTGGTCATTCACTTGTCTTTCGATGGACTACTGCTACTAGATGATGTTCCAACCACACAGCAATGCCATTTAATTCATTTCGGGCTTGAAGCTGGGTTCGTTTACAGTTGGACCTGCGATGTCCTCACAAGCCTTTCGTTGCCCTTACTACCGCATTTAAGTATTCACCCAAAAAAGGCCTCGCGTCTTTGGGTCAGGCTTAAGGCATTATTTTGGGATACGGACGAAGTCGATGACGATCAATGTGCTTTTTTTTTAGACGGCGGGCCGGAGTTGGGGGCGGCTGCTGATGCAGCCAGCTTTCATTTGAGGTTTTTTCGTTGCCAGCTTCACAAAGGAATGATTCGAGTGCTGCATGCTCTTACAAGCAAGACACCATATGACCACCCATTTAGTTAATCGACACTATAAGAAGATTAGGAGGAACATCGCCTCTTTGCTGACGAGATGCGAAGATAACAGTAATCTAGGGGGTGTTGAGCTTACTCTGTACGTCTCCTTCACCAGAGACGGAGGCTTCGTTTCGTACGAGTGGCCAATCTGAGCTGGCGTCAGGATATCGAGGCCAAGGTAAGCTCGCCCATCCGTCCTCCATCCGTTTCTGCAACATCTTCTGATAGCTGGTGGTGTGAAGCGCAATGGGCCGCCTGTACATCTTGTGAATCTTGTATCTCTCAAGCTTTTAGCCCGGTGAGTCTTGTTGTTTGGCCTTTCTCTTAATCACATACAGTGAAGAGGAATGTCCAACTTTGAGGCTAAATCAAATAACGATTAAATGTGCAATAATTACATATCTTGCCTAACATCTTACCCTAGAACATCACATCCTAGTATCAGGGCTATCTCAAGGTAGCATATCCTAGGATATGCTCCATCCCAGATTATCCTCCATCCCAGGCTATGCTCCATCCTAGGTGCTTGAGGCCCTGGCGTTCCAATGCCCTCGCTCAGTGACAATGTGATTGGATGTTCTGGGCTCAGCCAATCACTAAACATTGTGTCACGGGAGACTCGGAGCACTGAGGCTCCATAATATCTTTGATTGTTTCCTCCTAAGTCTACGCGCATTGAGGATTTTCACATGTGATCACAAGGGTACCCGCTATGTGATGTGAAACGAATGGAGGCCGTGCCTTGATCGCCAGTGAAATAACACACCGAGGATAACACCTTGCACCTTGCAGCTTGCACCATTCCTTCATCACGATGCTTCCCGATTAATATTGGTTCCGTCCAGGGTTCTGGCACCCACTCCTTCTGTCCTGTCTATCGGTCGGACAAGCTCGACACCATCTGTAGACCGGGATCGACCCAGTTGTTCCCAGTTTTGTTCGGCCTCTCTGATTCGGATCACTATTATCCAGGCCTCCGTGGCAAGATCGTGGAAACTGTACACAGTTGCCATGATCTTATATGTTAGTATGGCTCTTCTGACAGTTCGAAATGCTTACAGAGGATATGTTGAGTCCAACAAAGGGGCGAATGTTCCAGGCATTGGCTTGGACCCTCGTTACAGTGCAAGCCACGACCATACCAAGAGTTGATATGGCCTGTATTGAAAGATGGCCCAGCATCTGGCAAATCTTGAGTATATTACCCAATGTGTTACCGCCCGGTCTCCCTCCAGAGCTTCTTTTCTCCCATATGAACAATGTCCATTCGCAGGTCATCTCACGGAATGATGGGGGTTATCCAGATCTATGTACCCGAGGTTGGAGTGCGGGTGCTCGGCAGCGTCTTGCAGTCAGAGGCTATGCTCTCATCTACCAGGTGCGAGGCCTCTTCTCCCTTCCACCTAGACTGGTCGTCATCACGAGTCTACCCCTACACACAGGTGGACATGTTCCCAAAGTAGTGACCCCCTGATTGAACAGACCCATCCATGTGCTTCCCTGTAGGATTGCATGAAAGGTATACCTCACGAGGTGCCAACAAGGCAGACTGAGGAGTGACTCGTCACTGACTCTCAGGCCGTTGCAATTGCCTGTTATGGCAGGTAACAGCAAGAAATCGTTCCACCGTCAGGGGTGAGAGTGAAGGCTGGCGCTTCTCGCTGCGAAGAAAGGGGCGTGGGCCAGTCTCACGGGTTCCAACGGGTTACAGCGATGTCAGGGTGCGAGTGCCCCAGCTTGTGACGTGCTACTCCTGTCGTTCCGCGCGCACCATTATTGCCTCCTCGGTGGCAGACTAAGCCGCTCGATGGCCACTTCGATGGAAGATCCATCATTGGCTGCGCGCGGTATCTGGGCAAGATCAAGACAGTCCTAGTCAGAGTACGGGGTATGCCTTTCGAGGTATAAAGTGACGTTAGCGATTGCACCACCTTTTCCCGTGTACCATTTGCTCTTCTCCTTCTCCTCGCCTTCTCCTCTAGGCCTTCCTTTTCTCCAAGCCATTATGTCCTCCACGATAAGTACTCCCCAGCAATCTCTCATAGAGTCTCCTCAAGAGGCTCTAAAGGACACATCCGTTGGCCACCCCTTCAGTCCCATCCCAATCTATATAAGCAGCGATGACGACGGTACTGAAAGTGACAACGATTCTATTGCTTCTAGAGTAGAGAGAGATCTTCGTAATCGACAACACATGGAGCGCGGCACTTGCGATCCTGAGCGTCGCCAGAATATGCGCACCGAGGTCGGCTCACAAAGCCCCAGGACCAACATTAAGCCCCAGAGAAGGTCATATGTAAGGAGTAGACGCTCTCATGATCTCTTCAGCGACAGGGCCATTTACATTTCCAATTTCCCTCAGCCCGTCACCCTTGCCATCTCTACAAACTGGCACACGACAGATAGGGAAATTGACCAAAACACAGACGACGACAAGTCCACTACCGATTCGATGACCACTGTAAATGCGGTCGACGACCCTCGATACCTTGCCGAGGTAGCGGCCAACATACTTATGGAGCTGGCTGACGCTGCTGAGATGAAACGAATGACATGTTCCCAGCCATCATACACGTCATTCCAATGTGCAACCGAGGGATCCTTCCCAGCATCAGAATGTCCGCACCTTCAACCCTCTGTCGGTGTTTCAACAACTCAGAAAAGAGCAATGCTCGCCGGACGACCTTATTATCCATGGGATCAATTACTTGTGGAAGATCGCGAGAGATGCTCTCGCGCTTGTCGCCGTTTCTCTCTGCTCGATCAGCCGGGTCCGGCTTTTCGGATGATTTTTGAACACCAGCAACAGACATGGACTCCACAGTTACAAATACGAAGTGGGAGAATTGGAAACAAGGTCGCCGTGGAGCCCCCTTTCGCATGCGACTACGGATACAACATATCCATTGGGCGCAATGTGATTATCAGCCGGAATTGCACAATCAACAACGCCGGTCGAGTCACTATCGGGGACAATTGCTTCCTCGGGCCCAACATCTCTATTCTCACGCTTCTACCAACCGACTCCAAGAGCCCCAGGACGAGTCATAACCTGATAACAGCTGCGGAGGTTAGGATTGGGGATGGATGCTGGATAGGAGGCGCGTCCACCATTTGTGCCGGTGTATCGATTGGCCAAGACAGTAGAGTCCTACCTGGCGCTGTTGTGACAGAAGTGAGTACTTGTTCATCACGGTATAGAACCCGCTAACTCTATTCCCAGCATGTCCTCCCCAACACCACGGTTATTGGAAACCCTGCCAAAGAACTCACAGTCGAGTTTCAAACGGCCTTCAAGTTTGACTTTTCGTTTGGAACGGGAAGAACCAACTGACCATGTACTGAGGTGAAGTTAAAAAGGGATTTCAAGTGATGGAACATGGTTGGATTTCTTATGGATGCCCTTGATCGTGCGGGTTGCTACCATATATTGAGTTAGGACAAGACATGGCCCTACGACATCGCTTACATAAATGCGCCATTCCGAGCGCGACTTAAGGGGTATACGTCATACCTCAACTCATCCTCGTCGGGGTTCCATCCTGGCCCTTTCATACTGCCTACCGTACGCGTTAGCTTCTAGGGCAGGCAGCTGTCTGCCAGTCACCACTCCCCCCCCTTTCTCGATGTATGGACTTGACAGCGAGTCCTCGTCCCTACCTTAAGCATTCCGTTGAGTTGACCTCTACCGTCGAGACTGCGCACTGCAGGCTGTTACGTGGGCCTGAGGCCAGCCCCCCTGTCTGGCTGCTTGGCCCGCGTGTCGGGCGATCTGTTTGACATTGCGACTCTCCTTACGCCTCGCTCGCCGTCATCAACGATGGCGAAAAGGTAATAGACCACTATTGAAAGACCCCATCCCTGCTTCGTAAAATACCCTTCGTTCTCCAGTGCCTTTCTGCCGGCCAATCCTCCTCGTCGACTCCTCACAAGCCCGACAACAAGCCGAATACGACTGAAGGCCTACTTGTTCGTTTTGGGTCTGTTGTTACGGCAGAGAGGGATCAAAGGTATCCCATCGCCCCCCTTCCTTCTTGAGAATATGATATGGACCTTTTTAACAGCATACAAGATCCTGCTCGACCGCATTGCCATCAGGGCCTCGCTGTGTCGTCATTCATAGGATCCCTGACGAGTACCCTTTCTTTGGAGGCCAACGACAAGGATATCAGCGATGACGAGATCAAAGATAACAGGGCAAACGACAACGACGACACCAGTACCGATCTCAGTACTAGCGACAACGTCTTGGCACCTGAAGACGCGAGTGACGAATACGATATTGCCGATATCCCACCACTCGACGATGCCTTTGATAGGGATGTGGGTGATCGGAACCCAACCAACGAGGGAGAGAAAGCAGACGGAGAGCCCGTTATCTATAACACAAGCACGGACGATGAAGCCCTCAACTTCGACCCGAATGACTGTACCGACGCTTCCAGTACCCTCAATCCCACCATGGTCACTCTCGACAGCCGGGAAAGCATTATCACCGAGATTACTGCACTCCGCGATCGGCTTACTCAACTTGAAGCCAAGATCAACTCAGGCTCTCATATTTTACAAGGCACGAATCCATTAGGGAAACGAAAGCAGATCGCCTCAGTACATCCCTATTCGAAGAAGCTAAAGAAAAACCACTCAGTCAATATCTCAGCAACACGAGCCTACTTGCAGGGGGTCGATGTATCGGAAAGCTGGGTGTATTCATGGCAGCGTGGGCGTGGCGCTCGCTGTTGGGTCAGAGAGGTGGGAGCGGGGAAAAGGGAGGAGGTTGACGGGGGATACCTAATGTGTTTTGGTTCTGACTTGTTCATCGACATTCGAGTGAATGCTGATTGGCTTCCAATCATGGTACGATTCAACCACGACAAGCAAGCTTTCGAGGGGTTTGAGAGCATTGGAGGCCGGACACTTGAGGTTGAGGATATGGTGATGATGCAGCTAATGTGTGGTGGCAGTGGTGAACACGTTGGTTGGATTTTTGAGTAGTCCGTTCAATGTCGTCCATCAGAGTCGATCTCCTACCAGGCTCCGTTCACCTTGTCGTTGTGTTCCTGTCAGAGGTTGGCCGGCCAACCGTGTCATCTTGCAATCTCAGCCACAGCTGTGGCTCCCAGTCGGCGATACGCCTCATGCAGTCACCAGTGGGGTTCATTGAGAGAACATCAAGCCAATCATATCGCGCTGAGACAGGTCCCTACTGAACCTGTCTCGACCGGGCTGAACACAAAAGCACGGCCTATCACTCTCATTGAAGATTTGTAGCCTGGTGCCCGGCTTATTAAGATGCTGGGGTCGCGTTCGGTCTGCCAGCTGGCAATACGAACGTAGTGAGGCAGAATGCAGTACGTACCTGGCCACTCACCGAGCGGCTTTGAGCCAATGAGAAGTGCTGGAAGTGGGGCACCCGTGTTAAATTGGTGCGGTACTTATATCGGGCTCACCTGGAAACGCGAAGTCACGTGCCTTGTCTGAGCCACGATGTACCGCCACGACCCGAGGCTGGCGCCAACAGCTCCTCCATACATGTGATGCGACGTGACGGATCCCCCTACCTTACAACATTATCTCGAAAACGACGCGCCCACTATGGCAGATCGACATTGGTCGCAGATCATCAAGGAGCACCCCATCGGAAAAGGCCTCGAGGCCTTTAATGCTTCATTCAAGTCCATCTGTACGAACCGCGACATTCCCTCCCACCCAGCAGCGCTGGGGAAGCTTGACGACGATGGTAATCCAATCCCACTCCGTGGTCCCACACTGCTGACTCTCAGCAGAACTCCAGAATATTGCCCTTGTCCTTCTCTCGACGTTACAGATTTTGCCGGCGGCACGTCAACTTCAATCTAAGACGAGCGGAAAGCACATCTTCAACGACCTGTTGACCCTCAACGCAGCTGTTGTCTCCGATGACTACAACTTCGACAGGATCAGGCCCCTCTTAAGCTCAGCGCTTACCGAAGATCCAGACGACGCCCTCCTCTGGGGTCACATGCAACGCAGTTGCCGAGTCCACTCCGCCACCCCGATCGATAGCATCCTCTCTCCAACAAACCCCATGGCTCCGCAACACGAGCGGCTTCGCGAACTCATCTGAGCATCGCAATTACGTGGACCTTGTGCTCAGGGAAGAGCTCGGCAGAATGTATGTCGGGCTCCCTGGATTCCACGAGGCATATTTCGGAGGTGTGGTCGGTCTTGATACAGCGTCTCAGGCAATATTCCAGAAGTGCGAGGAAGGCAGTTGCCCTCTCTTTCGCAAGGGGTGGACAGGATGGCCGAACGATGCAAACCAAGACGGCGTGCTTAGCTGGTTCGCGGATATCAGCCAAAATCTGGCGGCTTTCGCAGAGTCATTTAGGCCTACTCTGGACCATCGAAGACCGCTGGCACAGCCCAACAAGCCGATCCGAGGTTCTACCGCAGAACGCAAGCTGGACATCGGGTTCGTGAACGATCCCCAGGCAAGAAGCGACTCTCGATGCCGCTGGTCACAGATACTCGTCCCCGGAGAGTTGAAGAGCAACCCATCCGCCGACATCGCCTCCAAAGCATGGCTCGACTTGGGGAGGTATGCGAGGGAAGTTCTTACTGCTCAAGATACGCGTCGCTTCGTCTTGGGCTTTACCATTTGCGGGTCGCTCATGAGGATATGGATGTTTGACCGGCTGGGGGGGATCGCATCCGAACAGTTCGACATTAACCACGATGGACTGCAATTCGTATCAACGGTCCTTGGGTTCCTCTGGATGGACGAGGAAGAGCTTGGCTTCGACCCTTCGATCACTGCAGAAGATGGCAAACGGGTCATCAAGATCACACGAAACGGCAAGGCAGAGCGACTTGTTATTGACAAGTTGATGAAACGCGCGCCCTGCATCGCCGGCCGGGCAACGACATGCTGCAAAGCTCATCGCGAAGAAGACCCACAAACCAAATTCGTGGTCAAGGATTCATGGCAATACCCGGAGCGTGACGAAGAAGGCGAGTTGCTCAAGGAGGCAGCTAGCAAGGGTGTAGTTAACGTCGCTCGGCACTACCACCATGAGAATGTGATTGTTCGGGGTGAAGTTGACGACATCCGAGGTAATGTTCGAAGGGGACTGAACGTTACAGAGGCGAGGAACTATCGGCCGGAACGTTCGGTCATTTCCTGGAGCACAAGTACGACAGGACCTCCACGAACAGGTCGGAGCAGCACCGTGAGCGTGAAGCGGTCATCGAGCCAGACCGGCGCCCCCGTGCCGCCTGGTAAACGGTCTTGCTCGGCATCACCAACAAAGGCAGGCAACGATGTCATCCCCAATCGGATACACAGGCGCGTCATCCTGCGCGACTACGGAACAGCCATCTACAAGGCAAGCTCCCGATCGGTTTTGCTTGCTGCGCTGGAGGGCTGCGTTGAGGGGCACGAGTCCTTGCACAAGGCAGGCTTGCTCCACAGAGACATCTCGATCAGCAATCTCATGGTTAATGAGGACAATACCAACTCCTCTTGGCCATTTTTTTGATCGACCTAGATCTGGCCATCAAAGAGCATCGTGACGGTGCGTCGGGAGCAAGAGGGAAAACGGGCACAAGAGCGTTCATGGCGATCGGCGCGCTTCTAGGCGAGCAACATTCGTTCATGCACGATCTCGAGTCGTTCTTTTGGGTCTTGTTTTGGATATGCATCCATTATAACGGACCGGATGAGAGCAGAGTCGTCCCGAGATTTGACAAGTGGAACTACGTCGACCCAGAAGAGCTGGCCGGAATGAAGCTGGGCGTTGTGGCAAAGGAGGCAATATTCTTGAAGACAATCACTGATAATGTCACGCAGTACTACGAGCCACTCGTCCCACTTTTAAACGGGTTGCGAACGACTGTCTTCCCTGGAGACAAGCCGTGGGAACAGGAGGACGAAAGGCTCTACTCTCAGATACGACAAAGGTTCCGGGAACAGCGGCACGACTTGGAGTGAAGACTAATTGGAAAGATATTACAACTCGTCCACCGCCGCACGAGACCTTGATGCCCTACGAGCGAAAGCTGGGATAGATCAGGATGTCGAAGCATGCGAAGCTTTGCCAACAGATCCTGGCTGTTGCTTCCGTTGTGTATCGCCCCATCTCATTAAAGGAACTGACTGGCATATCATTGACTCGCTCGCCCGCTTCAGCAACAACAATGCAGCCTCGTAAACAACCATCGGATCTTGCGGCTCCTTCCTGGCTCTTCAGGAGCGCGTAGTGTTTGTCCACAGCACGACGTTCGTGCACTCTAGATTGAAGCTGGTGATGCAATCGACCAAGCAAGCCAAGACAGGCTTAGCCTTAAAGTGGACTCAGCCACAATATGATTGGCTCAAGATACGCATTTTAACCTACAATCATTACTCAGCGAGGCGCCTCGTTATCAATCAGCCACAGCGAATCCCCCGTTGTGGCCGAGTTTCATATTTCGTACCCCGTTGACACGAGTGTCTCTGAGCAGCCTAATCCAACAAATTGACGCCCAGCAACCAAGGCGACCAGAGTTCACGTGCCCAGTCGCCTACTGCAACGCTCTCTCGGATGTTCCTCAAGACGCGACACGATACAGACTGTGAATGGTATCCGAGAGGGTGGGCTAGACATTATCGTTGAGGACTGTTTGGAGAAATGCAAGCCCCTCTTCCGTTTGGAACGGGTAGTTCTTGTCCGCAAATCTCTCCACCATTCTGCCGATGTCCGCATCATCGGAAGAGAAGGCGCCATCATTTGAGACGGCCAAATTGATGGCTTGCTGGCCCATTGAAGTAATGCACTGGCAAACCAGTTTCATCAAATGGGCTCAGCTGTAGGTTTTGCGCTGGAGAAATATCGGGCTCCTGAGGTTCTTGGGCAGGTTCGGGCGGGGTTGTCGTCTCCAAGTGGCACCTGGCTGGGTAGGACTTGCAGCCTCAGGCTGCGATGGAAAGAAAGTAAGGTGATTAAAAGCCCGAACAGTCCCACACTGATTAGTGCTCCACCCGTCTTGGGCTTCCCTTTTCCCCATTTCTCTTCCATGGCGGCCAAAACCCACTATATGGTCATCATCTGACTCCTAGCGTTCGTTCCCCTCCTGAAGCCTGTTTTCGCGCTAATGAACCCGCAAACTTGCAGCGTCCACTACCACTGCCTACCCGAGTTCACGAGCAGCCTCCTCAACATGAGGGCGATGTCAAGTCCCCGGAGGATACAACCACACACCGATCCCCAGGCCGATACATAGGCCATCCGCACGCGCTTCCCGCCATCAAGTAAACAGGAAGACGGGCCTTGGCGATACGAAAAAAGGCGTGGAGACGAGCATCAGTGGCACGACGGGCACCGACGACGGGAAGGTAGCAGCCGCGAAAGCGTTGCATCTACAACGCCGAGCTCGATCGTTTCTGCGGCAACTGTGATCCGTTACCTCCCTGTGGCCAGCACGGGGCTCCGGCCATCTCTTGGGACCAGGTCGAACAAGATCCAAAGAACAGGCTTCTTACAGATTCCCTCGCGGCAGAAAAGCAACATCTGGCAAGGCTCGGTGAGTTACACCCATGCGGAACCAGAAAGTCAGCCATCTAAAGGCGCGCAAGGTATGCCTGTCACCAGAGCACGCGCTCTCTGCCCGCTGGAAACGACTCGGGTTGCTGAGGGAGGCGGATACAAGCGCACAGTCGAGAATGCCAGCGAAGGATGATGTCAAAAGATATTGACGGTATGCCCCACAGCCCGCAGAGCGGACATCTCACGTCCCGGCGCACTATGTACCTTTCAGTCGCAAGCAGAACTCTCAATTATGCAGATACTTGTGTAAACACGCTTCATTCTTGCCGTACAGAAGACACATTCGCTACGATGCTTCGCGATAGCGCAGTATCTGACTTCTTGACCCGGTCACCATGGATTACTCTGCTGGTTTGCAGGCCGTCGTAATAGTCCTTCTGGTCGTTAGTGTCTCTGCTGATGTTGCTGGTGACAATGCTTCACGGAGAGGGAAGACTCATATAAACAGCTTAGTCCGTTTCAAGTCGTTCTCAACTCGGCTCAGAATCTCATATCTAGAGTCAGAGAAGGGCAAAACCTCCCAATCTATCTGCTCCTTCACAATGCCCTCAATCTTCTCAATAAGTCCCTCGACTGGGTATGGGCCCAACATATTTTCCTGGAGACCGGTGAACCCAGCATTCTTCAGCTCCCTCCATATGTCCGGGTAAGCCAACAAGGGCAAGTCCTTTGCCTCGCCTTGAGCGTCCATGTGGGACAAAAGTTTCCCAGCGGGTTTGGAGTCCGGGCGATCGGACGGGACCTCGGATGGAGGGATCCAAACGAACTCGCGAACCGTCACCGCCCCCCCAGGCGTCAGACGTCCATACATCAGGCGAAGGATTTCATCCCGCTCGGTGATCTTATTGCGCATGTTCACCATACTGACCGTGGCAAGATCGTGATCATCCATCTGCCAACATGGATCAATGACATTCGTAGACAGGGGAGTAGGCTTCTCCAGGCTTCCACCGTAGACGGCTGCTGTCCTGTGAATTATATCTGTCAGATGATGGAACCTGTGGCAGGCAACATCGTAGCTCACATATCGGGCTCGAGTTTCAATTCCTCGACGGGAAATTGCTGCTGACATGTTAACCGCCGTTCCAAATAACAGCCATGATCACATACAGCATCCTGTCGGTTCTTCTTCCTGCTTGGGAGACAGTCTGTGAAGAGAGAGCGGACAGTGGAAAGAATGATATTCGGCAACCAGTAGGGTGCATGGCGGATGAGAGTGGGCACTTTGTCGTTCTCCATTTCGCTTGATGGGCTCTGTTCCATTTCAACGAGTGAAGGAGAGATAATGGACAAGGACGAAGCCGCAGTAGGGACGAAGATATAGGCAGGGACGAGAATGCAGAGAGAACGTGGAGAAGCAATCGGTAGCCGCGATACCTATACTCATTCAAGCCGTCAGCCAGACCGAAAAAGGGAAGGCCATGTCGTCGACACCTTCGCTCCGGCACGGGTGCACCCACGTCAGGCAGATGGCAACCGATTCGCGCCCTTCACGCCAAGGTGGCTCGCACGCTTCCGCTAGTAGGCTTTCTTTTGCTGTGAGCTGGTCGCGGTGCGGGGCCTGGCGGATTGGTACGCCCACCATCAAGCTTACCATCGAGGCAGTACCCCTGCTTCAGGGGTGATCTCATCCGCGGCACCGAAGCCTGCATCCCAGGCCTGCTGGCTCGAAGGACAGGGCTGCAGGGACGCAGCATCCTGTGACCACCACCTCCACAAGCGAGCCGTCGTGAGCCTGCGATCGCCGTGACGAGCCTGGACTACATGAACGTGCCGAGATTGGCTCTCCGACCCCTTCCGCTCTGGGCCGCCGCGGAACACACCATCCTGAGCGGGCGAAGCCTATTCCCCTGTTGACACGTGTGCAGGATGTGATTGTCGAACCGACACCAATAGTATATCTGTCCGCCACTCCCGACAGCCCCTCTATGGGACCACTCCCATTCCCCGCGTGGTCTTCCCATAGCCTTCTTACCTTCCTTTGCGCTCATCTGTCACGTCTTCTTCTCGCATCCACGTTTCACCTCCCCTCCCGTGGCACATCGATTGCCATTCAGAATATCCCTTCATACCGTTGTCCCTCAGTATCGCCCACCCCGTCCTTCGAAATGGCCCGCACCCGCTGGCAAACGGGCAACTCCAAGCCGCGCATCTTCGACACAGTCAACACCGCTTCCGTCAAAAAGCGCAGGAAGACCACCAAGAAGGAGAGGGCCCGTAGTGAGGACGGTCCCGTCCCCGAGGTGCATCTGTTGGACAAGAAGCTCCCATGCCCTTACTGCGACAAGACTTATCGTAAAGTCGATTATCTGTAAGTGTCGTACCGGACATGACGATGAGATGAACTGATCTTGACTTCAGCACCCGCCACCTCCGAAACCATGCACCGAAGCTGATTTACTATTGCAACTTGCCGGGCTGCAGCAAGACTTTTGTCCGACTCGACTTGTGCAAAAGACACACGAATCGCCATGTCGAGAAAGGCTTGGAAAGCAAGGGTTTTACGATGAGACACGTCTCTCCGATCACCGATCGTGATCCCGGTGACAGCGTAGGGTCAGCGTCGCCCGAGACGAACCTCACCGATGCACAGTCTACCGACATGGACGTTCAAATGTATACCGACAATGGTGCATCCCCCCTATCCGCAACCGGCCATCCGCAACCCGATTTGTCTTCCTCCACGGCTCCCTTTGTCGCCACGGAGATAGGCAACCTACCTGACTTCGACAGCCTGGCACCATATCATCCGCAGAACAGGGCCTGCGTCGACGGAAGAGCGGCCAACGTAGCTGCTGACTTTCCCAAGCAGACAAAGTTTAACCCATACTCCTTCATGCCGATATCCTATGACGAGCTCGGCCACGACAATGTCGCAGCGCTAGGTCAGCAAATAGAGCAATATTTCAACTTGTCAACGGGGGATGCCTAGATTGGAGAGCAACTCGCTTGAAGGGGTTTTCCAGATCAATCAGAGCCCTTTTTTATTCCCCTTTCTGTCGCTCAACGTCGGTCGCACTTTCCTTTCGGTATAAGAAATAGAGTCAGCTCGCAACGATAAGTTCTACAAAGACGTTGCCCGCGGAGCCGACGGGCTTTATCATTGTCCTTTTGAGGAAGACGGCAGCTGTCGTCACCAGCCATCTTAGCGGGCCCCGTCAGTCAGCGCCAGACCTCGGGTTCTCGCACTTCGTGATGTTGTCCCAGGACGACACATTGTAGGCCAGCCACAAACGACATCAACAGGTTGCATGGCGACCCACATAATTGGGCCGTTGGCGACGGACGTCAATTTAGAGCACCCCCGCTTGTCTGTGCACTTGGCCAGCGAATCGTGATGGGGAACGTGCGCTCGCGCAGCGCCCCAGTCTGTGTTGTGCAAGGCGAATGACAGGGACACGTAGTGTACCGCCGCGACCAACCTGTGCGCGTGCTGCGCGTCTTGTTAAAGGAGGGAAGTCCAGGGGGACAGCACCCGGCCTACGCGGCCCCACGTGCTCCGTACAACCGCCTCACTTTCCGTCTCGGGGTGTTCGCGCCACCGGCGACTGGGTCGACTGTTTGGTGTAGGCGGCCAGCTCGCCAAGGCGCCGAGACTTCTCTGCCCACAACCGGACTCGGGGTCATCTCCCAGTCTCCACTGTTTCGAATGCAGGCTGCCCTGGGTCGTCGCCAACGGTAAACAACGGTAAAGCGCTCCCTCTTGTCTCGTGCGGGCGGCCTACTTTTTTGCAGCTGACAGGAACGTGACGCAGGGTGGGGCTACCTCCCGCCAGCTGGCCCCACATGTCCAGTCCTCCGTCAGAGCTGGACGCCCTGGACGAGTCGGCGAGCCCAGCACACTGACCGTTCGGGTGTGCCGCGAAGCATCCGGTCGAGGCGCCAAGTCGGCGACCGCACGCAGACCAGGTGCAAGGTTGGCCATGAACGCAAAAGCAATCCTACAACCTCTTTACATTTCCAACGCAGGCGTCATACTAGCCTGAGCGTGGCAGGCGGTGCGGTAATCTGGCATAGGCTCGGCTGGTGTGACATCGTGCGCCTGGCATCCAACACGCCACCCCAATCAGCTAGTCGCAGGCGCTGTTGCTGCGATCGGCGTCCCTGTAAAGCAATCCTTTACCGGTCTCAGGGTGGCTTGTTGATGGCCAGCTCGAGCCATGGCAAGGGCGGCCGTCGTCCGTGCCGCCCCCTGGTTTGTCACGGGTGCAACTGATATCCCTACCACTCCTTCGTGCCCTCGACCTCGATTCTAAGATCATCAAGACCATTATTGTCTATTTAACAAAGCCTTTACGTCGAATAGCACCTCGAATTGCCCTCACGCCGAAACGCATAACCCCCCCACCCTGGCAAGCCCACGACCATTCTTGAGCTCCCCATCAAAGATACGATGCCCCGAAGACACCATAGCGCTTATACTGTTGAGCAAAGCGACTTCGTTGCATACGTCCGCATCGATCAAGACATCAAGCAAACCGCATGGAAGGAAGTTGGCAAGAGGTTCCGGGAGCAATTTGACGTCAAACGCGTAGACAGTGCCGTACAAGCTCTTTTCCAACGCAGGAAGACGACGATCCCGGACACCGACAGAAAAGGGCGCCTTCAATTCGATGACAGGGATCAAGTACGGATGATTAAAGTCAGCGTAACGACTGACTGGAAAGCTGTCGGCTTGCTCTCAGCATATCCAGAGCGTGCTATCCGGTACTCATGGGTGACTGACAAGGACAAGCAGAAAGTGAAGGAGATTGGTGAGTCCCCGGGGACTGTGGACGCCTATGCAATAAGCTAACGCTTGCTAGGTCTTTTCAGACAACAGCAACTCGATGATGCGACAGAGAGGCAACGGAAGAGACGGAATGAACAGTTTCAGCCCTCCCCTCAAAATTGACATGGCCTCATCTCGAGCCTGAGTGTGGAGGGCGGAAGGGGGTCGGGGGAATACTGTATGGGCAGGATTGAGGTCAAATCACTTCGAGTCATCCTCACATCGATCATCATTCTGTCGCTATAATCCCGTGTCCCCATCTCACATCAAGCCCAGGCGTTGTGCATGGTGATCCAACTGATTGGGCTATGGCGTATTGACATCTATGTTGAGCTCCCCGCTTGTTCGTGCACTTGGCCAGGCCGCGGCGCGGGGACTCCCCCGTTCACAACCATTGGAAGCGAACCCCTCGCATAGCATCCATCAGCCTCCCCTGTTTCGAATGCATGCTGCCCTGCGGTCGTCGCCAGCGTCGAAGACGTTACATCGTTGCTCGTCGGCATGCTGCCTGCTTGTGATGGATCTCGGCTGCGGACAAGGGGCTCTGAGTCTTGAAGCGCTTTGTTGGAGGCAGTCGTGGATCGGGCTATGTTTGCGTGTGGCCGTTAGCTCAAGTCGGATCGTGGACACCTCGCTGTCGACTTACCTGGCCATGAACATGCAACTAAACAGCCGCATTGATGACAGAAACTTGAAAACAGAGGCGGGGACAACTCTCTCATCGGCTCGCACCCGCATGTCCAGAACACCCTCCGCCTGGTTGGGGCTCTTGATCTCTGCTGGGGTATCCGTCGCCGGTGACGTCGGTCGCGCTTCGTCCCTATACTGCGTTAGCACCGTGTCGCACGCCGCCACGGGCGGAAGCCTACGATGAGTGCCGTTGCGCCGCCCAGGCGTCCTTGGCCCCAGTGCCAGCCGTACACCAGAAGCCCCTCTTGCGCATGGCTCGCCAGATCTTGCAGGCTCTGTGGAAGTTTTGCATCATCTTGTCGCACGTCGATTGAAACCCATACAGCTCGCGGCCAAAGGTAATAGAAAGCTTGTGGTCGATGTAAGGATAGGACAGCCAGAGCAAGAGCACTTGCAGCTCTCCCCATACGAAGCGCAGTAATCTTGTGTACGCCCGGGTGGCGGTGAAGGCATCCTGTTTCGTGCCAACGTCGGGCTCTCCTGCTTCTCTTATTCACGTCAGTCGACTGGGAAAACGACAGCCATGGGGGCCTACGTTGCGTCATCCCTCGCTGCCTTGGCGTGCTGGGTACTTTTGGCTTGCGGAGAGAAGATCAAGTAGAAGCCCAGCCCGAGGACGACTGCGACGAGAACGCTGATGAGTAGCGCGTATAGGAAGCACATCTGCGTTTGGAGGTTCGTCGCGCTCATGGCGATGATCGACGGCACTTTCAGCAGGAAGCCCTTGAGGAAGGCATTGGGCGCGTCGGATTTCCTGATGGTCCTCTGCATTGGGCCGATTGCTGCCTCCTTCGGTTTGGTTGTTACCTCTGTCAGGTCGGTTGCTGCCTCCGTCAGGTCGACTTTTGCTTCCCTCGGGTCGATTGTTGCCTCGACATCGGTGGCACTCGTGGGAGCTGCATCTTTTCTAAGGGCTTCAAAGGACGTGTAGTCCAAGACCAACTCCACGGAATAATCCCAAAGAGAATCCAAGAAGTAAGGAGTGGCAATCGTGATCCTTTCAACCCAAGCCTCGTTGGTTGATGTGTAGAAAAGGAGGACGAGAGGGAGGAAATGGCCCAGGATACAGATGACGAGAGTCAAGAGGAAAACAAGCAGTGCCAGCATTTGACTCGAAGTCAGGCGGCTACGTTTCTCCTGTCCCCCCAGTAGAGGGGTCGCTTCGTTTGCTGGGGGGTCTTGGGAGTCCATCAGGCATCAGGCAACCATATCGGGCGCGGACCGCGAGGTCCTTGCGGGGGGTGCTCCCTATTTGGCTCACCGACGAGAGCCATCGCGTTTGACCCTGGCACTGGTACAGTCAAGCTGCATCTCGAGGTGGTTCGATGCATCGAATGGAGCAGCAGAACGGTGCAGGGGAGGTGCATCACCCTATTAGGTGTGCAGAGGTAAACGGCAATGTGTTCCTCTCCAAGTGATTACTATACAAAAGCAAAGACAATGCGGTAGTTCTCCCAGTCACCCTTCATGAACGTACGGAGCTTTCACGTCCATTGCAAATCCTCAGATCACTCGCCTCGATCGCTTCTAACAAGGCAACTTTTGTAGCAATATACTGTAAGGAGTCGTCGATGGCCTCTATATGCCAGGTTGCCTCATCGCGGAGCTCTTGGATCAAATCAATGGACAACCCCTCTGTCACCTTCAGGACAGTCTTCCAAGCTTCCCTCTGTATTGATCAGTTATGGTCAGGGCACGAACTCTTTGCCTACTCACGATTGCTTTCTCTACCTGTTGATAATCTCGTCGGGAACGTGGATCACATTGATAGAGCGTTTTGTAGCGGGCTGCCGGATCAATCCAGCGATAAACGTCACCTGGCAGTTCTCCGATTCTCCTGACAGAGCTTCCTGAAAGCTTCGAGAGACAACTCTCGGCCAGATCGTTAACCTGGGAGGGGAATATTCGGGAAAATCAAAGAGATGACGGATGAATGTTGTGGCCGTGGACACCTGTCGCGAAGGTAGCGCCCTGTTTTGCGCACGACTGACCGGCCCCACGAATTGTGGTATTCTGTGGTGCGTGGCGGCCAGCCTGTCGAGTTTTCGGCTTGTGTTCGGAGCAATTCCCATGTCGAAGATATTCTTGACGCACGATTGCGATCTCTTGCAGGAAGGCAACCACGTAGGGTGTGCATGCGTCCTGCAGTTATATGCCTGGACCGTCTGGGACCCCGCTGACTCGGCCCGCGGGCACGAATCCTGGATGTGTCAGTGGAGAAAGGGGCGTCCAGCCCGGTGTGATCGGAGGGATGAGCTGGCTTTCATGCTCGCCTTCGCACACCACACGGACGCGAGACTAGCCCTGGCCATTGAGACAATCTGGATATCGTTACTAGCGGCTCGATTCGATAGCGAGCGGCCTCAAGGAAGAACAGGGATCGGACCAATTATAATATATTACAAAGACCTAGCAGTCATGGTGATCATTGCAGCCGAGTACAACTAGATATCACCCGCTTCCCCATTTCGTATCTACGCCGAACGTCCAGCTGAGATCGTGATAATCGATCCCTACATTTAGGACATTGCTCCTTCCTTATATTGTATGAGGACCCAGCTGCACATGATGTTGAATCCTGACCCAATTAGCTGGGCTTGTCAGCAACACCAGTGTGTACCTACTTTGTTCAGGGGGTTGAGCGGAGTGTATGGAGCTTCGTGCAGAAAGTGGGAGGGAGATGAGATGGACGTTCACCGATGATGGCGAGGCTGTCTAATAAATTAAGCATGCCAAGGGCCTCGCAGCAGCGATGGGAAGCTGAAGCTTACATGACCTCAGCTCGTGACAGCGATGACGAGGTGATGCCGGACTGGGTGTCTTCTCCGATAGGAGGCGTGGGGGCTGCTCCTGTGTCTCGGAGGATATCGCTGTAGGAGACTTGCGGCACTAGATGGCAGACTGCGTGTCCTTGATGGTCTGTCTCATCGAGTCGACGGGTGAAAGCTTGGGGTGAGGTCAAATCAATACCATCGACGGCTTAACCCCTGTCAAGAGGTGCAGGTCGCAGGGTTTAGCGCTCCTTATCACGGATTAGCTTTCCTTGGCTTTCGTACAAATTCGTTCCCAAGGTGCCCCAGAGTGCCCCAGTGCCTTGCAGGGTTGTATTGAGACATGCGCCATGCCAGTCTCGGCTCGGCCTGTTCTCGTACCGGGACACAAAAATGATCAGAAAGCGACTACTTGCCGTTCGTCTCTCTCTAGACTTCTTTCCCACGCAAGAGACGGCCATGCTATGGGCAAATAAACCTTACGCATCCGTTATGAGCGCAGGCTACATTAAAAAGCTAGAGCAACTTCAATTCGTCTATGGGACTGCTCTCATCATGGTGAATCCTTTGGATGGTCTCCACTCCCAACGGGCGGGCACCCCAGCGCCCTAGCGCGCCTGAACAAGCAATGTCCAAGGAAGAGGCTGGGATTCTGAAAATCCCACAACATACCCATGTCCCCACTCCACATATATAATCCAGTTCGTGCGCCAGTGTCGAATCGCAGCCGTGGGACTTCAAAAGTCCCAAGGTCTAGTCGTAACTTGGGATTTTCAGAATCCCACCGTCCTCGATTTGACTAACGGACGGTTTTGGTTTCGCCATGCCGCTCGAAGAAGATCCACATTTCCAGGCGTGTAACCCGAGCACCGTGCGCTATGTTATTCGTACTGACTTTCCAGTCTCTCCGATGGCTCGCGCGTCAGCA